AATATACTACCTTAACAGTTATACTGAAGCACAGTTTATATCTGCATATGTATGTATATCTAATCTATTGACCTACACAGAGCAGCGTCACGGTCAAAACTTCTGATCCGGATAAGTTCGTAAGTTTGGTCACCAAGTCAGCGGATCTGCTGTTGGAGCACATACATCGCCTCTCGCAGGAGTCGCTGGATCATGCCGATCTCTCCGTGCTAACGGCCACCATTGGCGCGGCTGCACTGGTGAAGAACTCGCTGAGCGTCTACATGCAGGCAGCCACAACTACCATATGCCCGCCCAAGGGCGATGAGAAGGGCGGTGCGCTGAAGCTCAGCTTCAAGCAATACGCCCAGATGTCCGAGGCGTTGGCTGAGCGTTTGCTGGATCTGCACTGTCGCCTGCTGCTGTTGTATATCATTCAGGATGCGGACTGCCTGCACTGGGAGGACACGCAGCCGTTCTTCGAGTCGGAGCGCGGCTCGTATACGGTGCAAATGTGGTGGCACTATATGCGCGGCACCAAGGCCGATCTCTGGAACTCGGTGCCGCCGAAGATGGCGCAGAAGATCTTCGCCGGGATGCTGAACGAGACACTCAGTGTGCTGACGGTGCGGTACACGCAGATCGTGACGAGTGTGGCCCGTGCTCAGCTGCATCTGGTGGACATCTGCAATATGCTGCTCTGCATCGCCGAGCTGCTGCCCCACGTCTGTGAGAGCGGCGAGGCCTATGTGGGCCTCCAGCTGAGCAATCAGAGCGTCATCGTCAGGGATATTCATGCCAAGTGCCGGGAGCTCTTCTACTGCTTACTGTTGCGTGGAGCGCCCCTGGGTGTGCTATCCAAGGTGAGGATACTGAGTGGATGTAGCTGAATTATAGACTGAATTATAGACTATTCGAGAGTTATCCAAGGAAATTCCCTTTACTTTGGAAAATTATTATCCGATATGATTTTTTAATGGAATTTTTCTATAGGAAATTTTTACCATCACCCATCTCCCCTCTAGTTATTTCAGTTTCTAATTCTTATCAGATCTGTATACATCTTTCTGCAGTTCTAATTCTATAAGAACCACCTTCCAACTCCTCTATAGCTTATCCCATTTCTAACTATTCCCAGCCCCTTGGCAGGCTTATCGCCAAGACCTGAAAGAACTTTCACCATTGAATTCTAATTCTATAGGAATGTTTGATTATCAACCATTTCCCTTCTAATTTTATCAATTTCTAATACTCTTCATTCCCTTCGGCAGGTCTTTCGCAAAGGCCTGGATAACATGGAAATGTTTAGTTCCCGTCATGGTCTGCCATCGGCTTGGATTATCTTTGCGCTGCCTCGCTACTTTCCCAAGGAGCAATCGTGTCAGTGGGTCACTGAGTTCGCCGATCTGACCACCAACACGGCCATCTCCTTGGATTTGCGCGTGCTGCTGGCGTTTCCCGAGGCGCACTGGTCGTATCTCCTCAAGATTCTGCTGATGCGAGATGCTCACCTGACGGCCATTATAATGCGCCATCTAATGCAACATTTGCCGTCGTCGGAGAATTTCAAGAATGTGGCCAAGCACTCGTTCACCAGCGCCGAGGGAGCTCCACTGAAATGCGAAGCTTTCCTGTGTCGTGGCGAGTGCTTCAATGTCACCGACTCCATAGCTGCGGACATAGGCGAGCTCCAAAGGGAATAAGCCATCTTTCAGTTATAATTATTATAGTTTTACAGATCCCGTTGGCCAGTCCAACTACCAAATTGTGCTGTCCCTCACTTACCTGATTGTGGCCGTGGGCAAGGCCGTCGACATCAAGTCCTGCCTGATAAGGACACTGGAGGAGCACGCCGTGAGCGGTTGGAGCGATTGCCTGGACAAGCGTCAGGTGTGGAATCAGAAGCGCACGCCTTGGCTGGAGGCCATCATGCACTTTGTGTACCCAGTGCTCGACTGCGTCGTCGAGATGCTGATCAATGCCGTGGAGAACGGCGCCAGCATGTACCAGGCCATGTCCCTGGCGCTGACCTGCATCTCAGAGATCTGGGACTGCATGCCCGAGGGCCTGTATAAGATCACAGCCCTGCTGCAGGACATAATACCAGTGTCCACGCGGCCATTGGGCGACTCGGTGCTGCTGCAGGTGGTCTTCGCAGCGCTCTACACAGAGCTGATCAAGACGGCCGAGGCGCAGGAGCAGGGTGAGATTTGCATGTGGGTTATGGAAGGGAAATAAATGCATATCTTTTTACTCTATTTCACAGCCAAGAATGAGGACAAGGCTGCCATTTGTTACTCCCTGTCGGAGGCCATTTGCTCAGTGGACGAGGACGACAAGCACACGGATCAGATCGAGCTGTTTCTCAAGCAGGCCAAGGAGAGCATCAATCTGGACACGGGTTTCGGCAGCAGCTGCGGACGTGGCGCCGGCGGCATGAGCGCCGTCAGCACCGTCAAAATGGATGACCTGGCCATGACCAACGCCGAATCGGAGCGCTTGAGCCACAGTCCGCCGGCCAATTATGCCATGGAGCTGGATGTGGGCATTGCCGACTACATAGCCGAGGTGCTGGCCAGCGATGTGCTGACCACAAACATCGGCAAGCAGGCGCTGAAGGTGATCTATAATTATCTGAAGTTCAACAAGGACTGGCTGCTGGAGCAGCTGGGCACGGGCGACAACGAGCCAAGTCCGTTCCAGGGCGTGCTGGGCCAGAACATCAAGGAGGCCAAGACCTCGGTGCTCAAGTCCATGTTCTTCATTGGCAACACGCCATTCGATCAGCTGCTAACGGGCTCCCTGAAGATCGACTACGTTGGCTGGCTGCAGATGCCGCTGTCCCTGAATCCGGAGCGAACGTGGCTGCATCTGACGCGTCGCTGTGACTTCCAGGAGGACAGCAAGCTGGCGCTGCCGGAAGTGGCCATGGTGGCTGGCATAACCAAGATAATGAAACGTCGTAAAGACTTTGCCAAGTGAGGCGAGCCCCGATGTGGGGCTGTCGGACTGTCTGGCTGTCTGGCTGCCACCGTCGCATCATTAGCATTGCGCATACGCCGCGTCGTACAACCAGTAAAGATGCCATTAACGGCGCATAATGCAAACAGCACGACAGCTTCGTACTCCACACAGTTTGCCTGGCAAAATGAGAGATGCAAGAGATGTAGATAAACCTGAAGCAGGCTAAAAAAATATTTGCTCCTTCAGCTACTCCTGTGTTTAATATATCAAGGGCGGTGCGGGTGGTGCTGGCGGGGCGGGCAGGCGCTTAGCCGTCTTGTTGGTAGGTCCAAGGTATGGTGGCATTTTCGCTGCCGAAAAATGTTTTTGTCCACACGCTGCGTAGATGGCGCAATTGTCAACTGCTCCGCGGAGCAGCAGCAGCAGCAGCAGCAGGAGGAGTAGCAGCAGCAGCAGCAGGAGGAGTAGCAGCAGCAGCAGCAGGGGCAGCCGGCTGCTTCCGCCCTTCCTCGGCAATTGCCACGCAGAGCGCCAGTTATGAAAATTACTGAAACGACGCCAACAAACATACAAAGTGATGAACGCGGGGGCTGGGGATTGGCCAGAGAAACTGAGGCTAACGGACCAGCGACTGTCGCATGGAAAACACACACCAGCAGCCACAACAACAACAACACCACCAACAACAACAGCAATAACAACATGAAGGGCAACGTGACATATAAAAGGGAATCAACAAAGAAATTGGGGATCGGCTTTGAGCACTTGGGATATGCGCTGCCTTAATGTAAGAAACATTCATTTTGGGAGACTTTTTAGAGCTTATGCTAAACAGTTGAATGAGAATATTATACAGCTGACTTTCCCTTATGCTAAGTTATTTTACATTTATAATTTTAATAATATTGAAATAAATCATAGTGCCAACAGGTTTAATGAAAGCATATGCCATATGGTCTTTATTTAAGTGAGGTGTTGTATATTAATTTTGAATATAAATGTTTATGAATGAATAATGATTGAATAGAAGAGAAATTTGAAAAATACAAAATTAAAGAAAAGATTATATTTTGGAGTACGTTTGGAAAATTTGTTAGTGTAGTTGTTGCTTCAAAATTAAGAGACTAAACCGTTATATACAAAATTTATTAAAAATACAATTTTATGAATAAACAAAATGAAATTTTTGTAAATAATTATTTAGAATTTTCTATCAGAAACGTCTATGTGAATAAAACAATACATTTTACTGTTTATTTATATTATTTACTTATTTTATTTATTTTATTATTTGAAATTATCTTATTTTATTAATATTTATTATATTTATTTTTTTTATTAAGAAATAACATATTTTTTAAAATCATTTTTTTTAAATTATTTTTTATTTGAAATAATCTTATTTTAGTTTTTATTTTAGTATTATTATTTTTATTTATTTTTTATTAGAAATTATATTATTATCATTTTTTTAAATTTATTTCTTATTAGAAATTATCTTATTTTCATTTTTTGATTATTATTTATTTTTTAATAATAAGAAATTAAATATCAATTTTCAAATCATTTTAAATTTTATTTATTTTCATCATAAATATCATAAATAATATGCAATTTTTGCAAAAGATTACAACATTTTTCTACAATTAAGTCGGAAATTCACATTATATATAGGCCTTATTTAATCGTCGAAATACCTATATTAATAATATCTGTTCCACTGCAGCAACATGTGTCTAAGCAAACTTAGTTAAAATTAGCTTTGAGTAACTTTCATATAAACATTTAGACAAACACAGCAAAAATTTGTAGTTTCTTAGATATTTACATACAAAATAAAATAAATAAAAGCAGACTTCTACAATCTCTAACTTTACATCCATGTTAAAACTTTCATTCGGCAAACAGTAGATGGTATTATTGAAATTTCAATATTAATAAAAAGAGGAAAGTATTGCACAAAGTAGGGCATCTCGTTGGCCTGCTGGCCGCCTTTTGGCTAGAGAGTCGCAGCAGCCTGAAAGGCGACCGAGGACGATTGCTCTATTCATTCACTTGGCGCTGCCAGTAGCGTGCGGACGTAGTTTAGGACACTCTCTCTGACTCTGACTCTGACTCTGACTCTGACTTCGACTCCAACTCTGACTCGGGCTCGGGCTCGGCTTTTGGCTTGAGAGTCAAGTGGCTAGTGGCACCTGCACAAACTCTTGGCGGACATTTTAAATACTCAGTTGTTGACGTGGTGCGTGTGGCGCGGCGCAGGTAACTGAATGCTGCATGTTAACGGTAATTTGCAGCCATTAGTTGCCACTCACACACACACACACACACACACACCAAGTGCCACGGTGATTAAATGCTGCTGTTGAGAAGGCAAACGAATTATACGTGCAAACATCGTGAAAGTGTCGGTCGCATTACGCATACGCAGCGTATGCTGGCTCCAAATTAAACCTGAAATTTAAACGCGTAACGAGCTGCTTATTGTTTCTTTATTCGCTAGCCGTATTGTTGTTGTTGTTGTTGTTGCTGTAGTTGTTGTCGCCAGTGTCCCCGCTAGCCTTGGCAATCGTCGGGCAGTCGCTTGCCAAGAAATTGGATACGTTGCCGTAAAAGTTCACTTGATTTATATTCAATGCACAACACAATGTGTCTTCCGAGCTAAGTCCCGCTGAGCTTACGCTAGTCCACGAGTATTAGCCGATGTATTAACGTGGCCACTGGACTGCCAATCTGATGGCCGTTGTTTGCGAAATGTGCTACTGAAACGGTGCTTAAAGCGATCAAAAAATAACAAATATCAAAGAGAAATCGAAAAAAAAAAGAAAACGAAAAACGTCAAAATATAATTTACAAGTGCAGCATGAGTCAACCGCATCAACAACATGAGCAGCTGCAACGACGTCGCCGCCATTGCCGTCAGCCGGTCGAGCCTTGCGACTGTTTACGTCCTGTGATAAGAGTTTTTGGTCTGCTGACTTCATTCGGTAAGCACACGCACACACACACGCACACACATACCTATACACGCGCACACTTAAACACTTCTGCGTGCACTCATGTGAGCTATATGAGCTGGAAGAATATATAAGCTGCATTTAACTCAGGTGCCGTTTAATGTCGCATAAGACCAAGAAGTTAATCTTGCAACGATTATTATTAAATGTATACTGTTTTAAAATATTTTATACATTTAATATTGGCTGGCATCAACTAAGCGTATTTGATTAGAAAATTTATTATTAATGCCGTATAATTTTATTAAATTTTTTTTTTATTTTAATTTAATTTTGTATTATTTCATTTTTATTTATTTATTATTATTATTTTTTTTTTGTATAGTTTGTAAAATTATATTTTTTTTAAATATTTTGTTCTTTATTTAATTAGTGTTATTTTTCAATATTTATTATTATTTTTTATAATTGTATTATACTATTTTATTTGTATAAATTTATTTTTTATTATTTTAAAAATTTCGCAATTAAGTTATATTTGTAAATTCTTAATTATTTGGTATTATTTGTGTTACTTTTATTTTATTTAATATTTAATATTTTATTTTTATTATTTATTTATTTAAAATTAATTTTTGTTTATTTTTTTTTTTGCATTATTATTATTATTATTATTTTTTAATTTTTAGTTTGAATGTAATCTAAACATATTTGTTTGCAGTAATTATTTGCTATTAATTTTTTTATTATTATTTTATATGTTTTTTTACTATTTATTTTATTTGTTATTCATTAATATATTTTCTTTTTAAATATTTTATTTGCATTCCTCGTCCACCGTGTGTTTAACTGTGTACTACTATTTCAATAAACAACCCCAAAGGGAATGCAGTAAAACTAATTTACTCTTGTGGCTTACATTCTACTCCTTAAATAATGAGAACTGCTTTTTAATTTCAAATTCAGAATTTTAGCAGAGCTGTACACTATCTCTTTGTGCTGAGCTTCAATAATTGAAATGCTACACTTTCTAAAGAGCTACGAATTTTATTTACCACATTTGTCTCCAAATTAAACGAAAGTTTAGTTACTAATATTGCAACTCTCTTAGTTTTGGCCACATAAGTATAAGTATATTAAATAAAACCCAGATTTAATTTAGTACCTGATTCTATAAGCTAATAATAATACAACTATATAATTGAGTGCAAACTTCTGGCATGCTCATACTGCTGCAGGTATAACCGCTTAGCAACCAATGCGCTTGAGTTCATTTTTTCAGCATTTGAATGCAATTTATAATCTGTCCGAAAACACTTTTGCATGTGCTACAGTTATTAAATTTGGCTTTAGCGCTTGTCATGCCCAAGCCTCGCACTTCCCATGAGTGTCATCTGTATTGTGGGGGATTGGGGGTTGGGGAGTGCTTCTTCCCTCGTCTAATGCACTTGTAATGGTCGTCGCCTGGAGTAGTGCAACAGTCAGTAGCCGCTCCTGACCAGCCCCAACTGGGAAATGTGATAAATGAGCGATGCCTAAGCATCCTGCCAGCAATAGCAGCAATAGCAGCAACAGCATCGCCGCAGCTGCTGCATCTCCTACTTGGGTCAAGTTCAAAATGATTTTTTCCAACAATATTGTTTTTGTTTTGACCAAGTCTGGCTGTGCATTATGCAAATAAAAAATAACAGAAAAAAATTGGCAGTTCATAAACCTCAGCAAAGATCTGATAACCGAGCGAAGAGAAGCTGCTCTCTCAGGGCCATTAACAAGGCATTGGCCCTCTTTTATTTACTGTTTTTTCTTCTTCTTCCTAGTCAGCAGCTGCATTCGCACATCCTTGGCAAAGTGCAACCCTTTACGGTTTTTATCCCTATGCACGGCACTTTTTGTTGTTGTTGTTCGCTTTCTGGCGCCAGTCGCTTGGCCCCCTTCAAATCACAAAAAAAAGATATGCATATACATATATATGTATATAGCTTTAGCTTTGGCTGACTGTCCCCAGCTCCACTTAATCGCCCCGAGAGCTGCGCATAATTTTTGCCTAGTTTTTATTTGATTTTCTATAGACGCACGTTTCATCGACTATCTATTCAGCTTTTTGCTGTTGTTGTTGTCTTTCTTTTTTTGATGCTCTCAAAGCGTTTAATGTAATTGGTTTGGCTTTGCTTTTTGGCTTGTGGACTGTGAACCGCGGACTGTGCGAGTGGGCAAATCTCATTTGCCTTTTTATCTGCAGTCCAATCGAATTTGTTTTCCCGGCGCATACAATAACAACTTAATTAGATTGAATTTTCAGCAGATTTTCGCGTTTGTCGTGCTTCTTCTTATGGAATTTATTGTTGTTGTCGTTGTTGTTGTTCTCTTGCTGAGTCATAATTTACACATAGGGAAAGTAACCGCCGATAGGCATAATATGGTTAGAATGTAATATATTAATAATAAATGTGGATATATGTATGTATATATTATTGAGAAAGTGGGTAGTTTGGTAAGTTCTGAGTCAGGGCAGCAAATTAAATAAAGTAAAAGGAAAATAGATGTTTGGCTAAAAATTTTAATTTTAATTTAATTAATTTTTTTCTTATATGCATTTCATATTTTATTCTTTTTTATTTATTAATTTTTTTGTGGCAACATTACTATTTATAGATTTTTATTTTCAAGATAATAATAAACAAAAAAAACTCTAAAGAGAGTAAAATTAAAATTTGTATAATTTACTATTATTTATTGACTTAAAAATTTTTGTATATCATTTTCAATTAATTTATTTTTTTATTTATTTATTTATTTTTTTTATTGCAGCAGTGTACCGTAATTTTCTATTTAATTTTATTTCTATTTGTTAAATTGGATATGCAATTTTTTAATATCCAATTTTTTACACATTTTTTCTTGGAATTTTTCAATTCAATTTAATGTTATTTTTCTTTTCTTATTCTTGGTTTCCTTTTTCTATTTATTAGAATTATTTCTTTATTATTTTAATTGGTTTTTTTTATCTGCTTTTAAAATTGTTTTGACTTTCACTTTGTCCCACTTTTATTGGCATCCAATTTCGTATTATACTTTGTTGGTATGTGTATTATTTTATTTATTTATTTTTATTTTTATTTAATTTTTTTTTTTTTTTTTGTGCCCAAATATTTTTTTTACGACTCTGACTTTATTGTCTTTTCTACTATGATACATTAAATTTTGACATGTTTGCAGTTTCGTAACAAATTTGTAAGGCAAAGGAATTTATGAAAATATCAAATTTCATATGTTCATTCTCTTTGTTAGCCATACCAAAACACTTGTCTCAACCCTCGCATATTTCCATTGCCTCATCAATGTGACTTAGATTACATATTTGCGTTTTACCATATTTTATGGCCGCCAAACAAATGTTATTTGCGTAGACACAGCTCTCTATTGTTTCATTACGCATATTCTGTAGCACGAAGTGCCCATAATAGAACCCAGCTCCACTTCCAGCTCCACCAACCACTCCACCACCAATAGTCAATAGCCAATAGCCGATTTCTTGAGCATCCAGCAGCCAATTTGTGGTCATTTTTCATTTCAGTTATCTGCGGAGTGGGCGTCGATGTCTACATGCATGGCTATCAGGCGGGCCTCTATATACTGTGAGTCTGAGTAGTCTCTGCTCTGTCGCCGGATCATAAAAATTTTAATGTTTGGGCAGTTTTTCAGCTCTGCTGGTGCTGTTCATTGAGATAAAATGGCTGATAAACATATTCCTGCAGCTACAATGTGGCGAGTAAGTATGGGGGAGTGGGAGGAGGTCGCTTCCCGATGAAGCTCGAGCGGATGAGCGGGGGAAGAGGTCATAAATTTAATGCTTGGCGCGCATATGTATTTATTTATTTTTAATTTTCAGTGATAATTACCAGAGGCACGCCTGCTGCCTGGACTGCTGGCGTCTGTCAGCGTGGCTAGGCAGCTGGCGGCCGGCGCCCATTTATGTCGCCATGGGCGTGGCGCTGATACTCTTTCCCCACAATCTCTGGCTGAGCTACGTGGCTGGCATGTTTCTCCTCCTCCTGGCGTTGCTGCGTCTCTGCACGCTGCTAAGATTCGGCGGAGGCGTTGGTCAGCTCAAGGACGTGGGTCTGTTGCCACAGTGCGATTTCGAGAAGTAACGCATGCCACATGCCACATGCAACAAACTGTTCTTGGTCACTTAAAGTGTTTGCTTAATTGCTTCCAGAGTCTCCAGCTTTGTGGACAGCGTGGAGGAGGATTTCGCTGAGGTCAGCGTCTCGCAGCAGGAGGACGACGAGCCGGCCGTGGAAGATGAACTGTGCTAATGGCAGCAGATCTACTGAAATCTGAAATAATGCTGTCGCCTGCATTTACGCTTGATTTCAAGTGCAATTTGTTTATACATAAGGCAGAATTTAGCTAGAACTCATGTGTATATGGAATATGCAGTGTATATAATTTGCCATGTTCAGAACGTTTGTCATATATACTGAAAATATTAAAATATTTTTAATTTCAATATAAATATGCTGCATGTATGTATAAATATTAATACAATATATTCCAATTCAAATTTGTATTTAAAACAGTTTTTTTTTTCCATAATAAAAACCGAAAGCTGATTTGTATGCGAGTCCAAAGATTCGTCATAGCATTGAGCTTATGACAGCAGTCAGTGCATTTGCCTGCTGGTGCGCATGTCTGGCTGAGTGGCAACGCCAGCTAAGGGAAATTTGTTTGTGAACTTTCGCTTTTGAAAAATGTCCGTTACACATTTCGTTTTGCTTAAAATGTAAAGAAAATACAACGTTTTACTGGGTAAAGTTTATTTATTTATTAAATCTTTAGTTTTGACATTGAAGCCCCGCGCGCTAGACAAACTAATTAATAACAATTTGTACCTTGGAGACAATGTTCTGTGGAACTATTTATCTAGGCAAGTTTCTTTTAAAGCAGTCACACATGTACAATATATATGTGTGTGTGTGTGTACAACATTTAAATTATTTTTGGGCTGGCTGTCATTATACTCACGCTTCAGTCTAATTGTTAATGGGGGGCCATTCCTGTGGGGCGTTCTAAAAGTTTGTGTGAATTTTCGCTTCATTTCGCATTTTGTATAAATATTTTTGTAACTTTTAAAGTTAGTTTTTTTTTTATTGGGTTGGTTTCTTTACATGTTTGCTATGCAATAAACATATTTAACATTATTATAGATTTGCTTCATTAACTTTTACGTAGTTTTCCCAATTGAAAACGTTGAGGTAGCTGCGTTTTGTTTTCGTTATTCATTTGGTTTTTCTTTTATTTTTTTTTAACAATTAACTATTTGTATTAGGTTCTTGGTTATCCCTGATATATAATATATATGTTTGTGTGTGTATGTGGGATTGGTGTTGAACAATTTGTAACGTGTTCTATGATAACTCTCTAGGGGTGAGATGAACCGAACCTCATTCTTAAACTTAAAAGTTAATAAACGAAAACAAGCCACAAAAAATGTAACTACAATTTATAATAATTTTTTTATTTCGTATATTTTATATATATTTATATATATTTTTGTTGTTGTTGTTGTATGTATATCGTTTATATATATATGCGTGTGTGTGTATGTGTGTTTATAATATTATACATAAAAAACATCGAAATCGTAAAATAGGGTCGAACTAAATTTAAAATAAAAGTAAAAAGTACAAATAAAACAAAAACAGAAAACAAAAACATTTAATAATTATTATTTTGGCATAGCGAAAAACGATTGTTCAGCATGTGGCAAAGGGGTTATCGAGGGCGGGTGGGGTGTTGAGGAAGTGTGGGCTGATGGGCGGATGTGGCTAGGAAATTCTGTAATTATCTCTCACAGACGAGCCCAGATGCAAACAAGCATTTTGGCGTCTTGGAGTTAAATGCGCATCTGTTGGCACATTTTCTAACGAGTTCTTTGTTTTGCGTCGCTTTTCTTTTCTTTTTTCTTTGGCAAGAGATTCAGCTCAGGCTTTTGGCTCCGCCTTGCAGTAGTAATTGGCTAAGGTGTGTCGTAGCCCGTTTGAAGTCTTATGGTAAACTTGAATTGACTAGAAAATAAAAGTTTCTTTGTTATTTCGGCTGTAGTAACAGTGGTAACTGAAGCGAGGAGCTACTGTACTTAAGCGCCCCATACACATGGCTGAACAATGCATAAAATATAATAATATATATATAAGGAGAATTATAGAAATGAAAATTGTAGTAGACATTGAAAACTGTTCATCCTTGATCATCATCATTATCATCGTCATCATCATTATCAATATCATTCATCATTCATCATCATTAGTTATCACTTGCTCTTCTTCTTATAACGTACGACTAATAACTATCATTGGGATTCATTCTTCACTTTGCTGGCTCTGTTCATTCATCTAGTTGTCTGCTGATCTGGCCAATCTTTAACATTAACTTGATTTCGCCTGGTTATTGAAGCGACTGCGTCTGTGCCATCTGCTCCGTCTGCTGCTTCAACTTCACTCTATAAAAATATAAACCTTTGCCCTACGTACAAGAGTTAAAGAGAGAGAAAATTAGAGAGGGTGTCTGTATGTCTGTGTGTTTGTGTGTTTGTGTGTTTGTGTGTGTGTGGGTGTGAGGGTAGGATTTGGGGATTGCACCTTGCTCTATATATGTAGTTCTATGATCTCTGATCTCTGGGTGTGACAGACGCCCGTGGCACATGCCGTCAACACCGTCACCAATCGCTGATGTCCACACGGGCATTGACGGCGCTGCGCCTCTACCGGACATTGACTGCAACACGACCCGCGTTCGCGTCGTCTACTGCCTCCTCGGAGTGCCCCCCGCTAACAGCTACTAACTAGACGTGCTTTAGTTTAGTAGAACGAACTGCACCAGGCATCGCCCACCGTGGGGCTTAGCAGGCCGACCAAATTGCTGCCATGGTGCGACGGCACGGCGCCATTCGCCACAGACGCCGGCGATGCCGTGTGAGTCGAGCTGGGCAAGCACTGGAAGCAGTAGTTGGCGCCATAGTTATTATCCCAAAACTGTTGGCCCTTGCACTGAAAGCGCACGGCGAACTCCAGCCGTTGCCCCACATGCAGCGAGTTCCCGAAGAGCACAAACGTAAACTTATCGGAGAAGCCGTCGCACGAGTTCTCCACGTAGTTGGCCTGCAGATCGGCGAAGCTGCGCCAGCCGTCCAGCGAGTAGCGTATGTGCACGGATTTGTGAAAGTCCAGATTGCGCACCCGCACCGTGCCGGCGATTGTCTGATTGATGTTGTCGGTGACAGCGGCATTCTCCAGCGACACCTGCTTCTCGCGCACCGCATCGAGGAATGTGGGCAGGCCGCCCGGCTGCTGGAACAGCGGCATCAAGATCTTATCGGACTTGGGCCCCAGCTGCAGCGGCGGCTCAGTGTCCAGTATTTCCAAATCCTCGAACGCTGACTTCGGTATTGTGGGTATTTCGTCCATGAACGTTTTCACGTCCGCCAGATCCAGGCCGAGCACATCGGCGAAGCGCACGATCTTCTTGCGGCCCGGCGTGCCCGGCGGCGTCTTGCCCGTCTTCAGCGAGGAGCAGCGTCGCACACGCTGCGGCCGACAGTCGTCCTCGTCGTCTGTGGTGTCGATGCCATGGCTATGGCGCGACTTCTCCGCCTCGGCCTCCTCGACATCCTGCTGCGCCTGCTCCACCTGTGCCAGCTCCACGTTCACAGTCAGATTGCTGCATTTGTCCACCTCATCTGTGCCGCTGTCCGGTGTTTTCTGCTCCTCCCCGACTTCGCTCGCTGTGGTTTTCTGTTCTTGCTCAACTCTTTGCTGCTGTGGAGCCTCTACATAGCCATTTACCAGCGCTGGTTCCTCCACTTGCTCCTCGCTGAAGCCATTGTCCGGACTCTTGATGCTGTCGCTGTGCAGCTGCAGCTCGCTCAGGATTTGCGCCTGCAGCTGCGTCTCATCTTCTGATTCTCTTGCCTGTGACTGTGACTGTGCCGGCTCCTGCTCTTTATTCACCTGTTCATGTTCCAATGGCTGCTGTTCCTTCTGCTGCTGCTTCTCTCCCTCCTTCTGCTGTTGCTGATCGCCATTTGTCCATGCCTCATGTGATCCATTCAGCTGCAATGTGTTCACATATTCATTCTGCTGCTCCGCTCCACTGCCGGGCACTTTGCCGCGCTCTGTCTGTGCCGGCTGCAGCTCCTGTGGCCCGGTGCCCGTGTTGCTGCTGCTGCTGGTGGTGGCACCGGTGGCGGCATCGAAGTAGGGTCCATCTGTGCTGCTGTGACTGCTGGCCGCCGAGGCGCACGCATAGCCCGACTCGGCGGTGGAGTTGTGTGGTGTATTCGAGGCGGTTTCTATGAGACGCAGGTACTCGCACTCATCCGCTGGGCTGCCTGGCGATTCCAGCTCGCAGTCAAAGTCGAAAAACGAGTCTGACTCCTGGCGCAGTGGCTGCAGATCGGTGACAGTCTGTTCCGATTCGTGTGCACTGACCCAGGTATTCGTATTGCTGCCATTTATAATCGGCTCATCCTCTGCATTGGCAACGCCCTCCTCGTTCGTCTGCAGCAGAGAAAAAGAGATGGATCAAAAGAGAGCTGATTAATTATCAAGAAAATTAAAGCTTGGAAGCTTAAGCTATAAAATTATTTTTAAATTATAATGCAAATATATGCAATTAATATACATAAATTATCCAAATTTTAATTAAAAATTTTAAAATAATATAATAAAATAATAATTTTAATTAAAATAAAAGAACCTGGCTAAAATATGTATATTTAAAAACAAAACTTTTTTTTTCAATTTAAAATATTTGAATTTGAATTTTTTTAAATTAATAAAAATGAATAAAATAAGAAAAACATCTTCTTAAAGTCTCTTACACGTAAATATAAATAATATAAAAATTTGAATAAATAAAAATAATAAAAAAAACCGAACTAATTTTCCGAATTTATTAACATTGTCTAAAGAATTGTATTGAGTATAAAACATATTCTTGCACTCCTTCGTGTATTAAGTTTGGGAATGTGTTTGGTTTCAGATGGCATTTTTGAAATAATCTTCTTTGCCAGACATATCCGGTTTCATGGTCCTGGAACCGGGTCTCCAATTAACTGGGCAAACCTCGCCAAACTCATCGCTATACTGAAAGGCCTGGATCAGGCGCAGTGCCTCCTCGACACTGCGTCCCACACCATTGTCATTGACCGAGATATGCCGCACGAGGCCGACACGATCGATAATGAACATGCCCCGATTGGCCAGACCTGTTGACTCGTCCAGCATCTGATAGTCGCGAGCAATCTTCATCGACTTGTCGGCCCACAGTGGTATATCGATTTCGCCGAGGCCGCCCGCCTTGCGCGGCTGCATCATCCAGGCGCAGTGAGCGAAATGACTGTCCGTCGAGCAGCCAATCACCTCACAGCCCACACTGCGGAACTCCTGGGCCCGGTCGCTGAACGCATGCAGTTCCGTTGGGCAGACGAACGAGAAGTTCGCCGGATAAAAGAGCAGTATCACATATTTGCCGCGATATTCGCTCAGTGTCATCACGCGATACGCGCTCATTGCCATAACAGCAATCGAATTGATTTCGGGTGCAATCTTACGTAGTAAATCCATTTTCAAAGTTGTGAAAGTAGGTCTATAAATATGATGTAACTTGTACGAAATCTGAATGAATTTACTGGAGATCTGTTTGGGCTGAGCTAAGGCTTGACAATAATGGGATTGCTTGGATCGAATGAATTTTGTAGAGTTTTAGTCCACAGAAAGTAGAGTCTACATGAAATCTATAGAGAGTAGGGTTAAACACCCTCAGCAGGCTCTGGGGCCGCTATAATCTGTTCGACTAAGTCTTAATGAAATAGGTTCACTACAATAGGTTATAGTCTATTCAAATATTTTGTAAATAATATTAATAATAACATTGGCACTCATTTAGCTAATGATAATGAAAACGATAATACCAATGAGCTAATGATAATAACAAAAACAATTATTTTTTGAATGGTAATGATAGTGATAACGATAATCAGAATGGGAATGCAACTGCTAATACCAAAGATAATAATAATATTAATGCTAATGCGATAAGCATAATGATAATACCAATGCCAATGGGAAATCAAAGTGCTAATGATCATGATAATAATTATTTAAATGGTAATGATAGCGTTCATAATCAAGTCAATATGATAGAGATCATGATAATGCTAATCCTTATTTTTATGATAATGCCTTTTCTACCATAAGATAATATTAGTGATCATAATATAAATGATAATAAAAATAATGATATTATCAAATAATTACAGACTCTAATAACACTTATAATAACTTGTATTATATACAATATCAAAAGAGAACATAGCTTATATACATCCTTAAATGATTCTAGACATCCTACATATATCCTTAACTGATTCTTATCAAATCTACACATTAGCTATATTGCTAACTCACCTGTGATCCCAAGGTGCGCAGCTTTGAGGACAAACTGCGCGCGAATGCCTCGGCACGACCACGGCATGATGACATCCCTATGTTTGGTATTATGGAGATAATGCTGCAGGGCGGCCTATTGTCCGGCGTGCTACTGAGTGTTAATGGTTGATCGCCGGGCTCATTCATTTACGTCACGTCAATATCTTGCGCTGAGCGGTGAGGCGGTGGGGCGGTGTGGTGCCAACGTCGGCGGCAACTGCAACAATGCTGCAAAACCATACAGAATATATACACAGATATAATGATAAATAGATATACTTAGATGACGTGTCTGCGGGCATTATTGTTTTCGTCTACTGACTAAAGCCCAGAAACAGGCGAGATTTTCGCAAGTAAACAAATAAATTTTGCTTTCTTTTAATATTCTTTTCTGTTTTCTTTGCTGTTTTTTTTTTTTTTTTTTTTTATGTTTCAATGCGAAAAACAGCTGGCAATTATTTTTTATATTTTACGCGATTGAATTAATTTTAGCTGCCTGTCAATTATTTAAATAGTCTATTCGGGCTATTATGAGCATTTGGCATTTGCACAAATGCATTTTTAGCATATTCGCAGTTCGATAAATATATCATTCATTTCGCTGCTCGTTCTTTTTGGGAATTTGTGTGCTCTGTGAATTTAATAAATGTGAAAGCCAACAAAGTGAATTATTAAATAATGCAAAAACTGTATTATATCATCTATTCAACGCGTGACAATTCTATATATGTACATATATATGTATATTAATGAAATCTTAATTGCTTTACATATTTATATTAAATACAATAAATCCATTGAGTATGCCCTGAACTTATTAAAAATGAAAAATCAGGGCATATTAGTTGTGTTAAAATGTACGTAACTGGCAGATGGAAAACCGCAGCAATTATATATGTATATTCTTGATATGGGAAACGAGCCGAGTTGCGTCTCTCTGCATGTTTTAGAAATCGATAATTATTTTCATTTTAGTATTATCGATTAAGATCCTTATCGAAAATGATTTCTAGATTCATGTCTATTTAATACAATACTGATCTTTGATATATTTTGGAATTTGGTATTTCAAAGCTATTATGACAACACTACTACTATTGCACTATAGTTACTACTGCTTCTACAATTACAATATTTTTACTACAGCTTCTACTATTACACTGGGTTTACTGCTACTACTACTATTATACTATATTCACTTCTCCCACAACTATTACATTAATTTTGCTAGTACTACTACTATTTTTACTACTACTATTACTACCATTAAACTGTTTTCACTACTCCTACTACTATTACACTATTTTTGCTACTACTAATACTTTTTTTTTACTACTACTACTACTAATTCTGCTATTACTGCTACCTTTCTTACTTCTACTACTAATACTACTATTTTTACTACTGCTACTACTATTACTATTTTTACTACTACTACTAATACTACTATTTTTACTACTGCTACTACTGTTACTATCTTTACTACTACTACTAATACTACTATTTTTACTACTGCTACTACTGTTACTATTTTTACTACTACTACTTCTACTACTACTATTACTACTATTTTGACTACTATTACTACAACTACTACTACTGCTACTACTACTTCTACTATTACTACTACTACTCGAGCAGTCTCGACTAGAGAACCCTTACTTTTACCAGGCTTTTGTTGTTGCGGCACCTAGTCAAGGCGATTCATTGAGGCACACCAAAAACAAAAAACAATTGTTATATACTAATTGCAGCTTGTTTTGCTTTTTATTTGGCAGGTGGTTGGCTTTTTTATTTTTTTCGCTTTGTCAACTGCAACACGTGCTCGCTCGATCAGGTGCTGAAAGGCACGCCCACATATGTATAGTAAACCAATTCAGATATAGCCCAACCCAAGAGGAGCACAGCGAATGCACCAATCACGTCGCTGTTTTTTTTTTTTTTTTTTTTTTTGTTTTATCAATTGGCCTTGAACTTGGTCACATTTTTGTTTTGTTTGGGCTTTGGCAGTACAACTTTTTTTTTTTTTTTTTTTTTGCTGGCAGCCAGCATAGGAAGCTTAATAAACATTGAAGTAAGGCTGTGCCAAAGGCTGCAAAAAACAATTGCCCCTGACAGTCGATTGACTTAAGGAGGTCAGTATCGCTAGCTCTCTATTTATTTATCACTAAAGGTTTCATTAAACAAAGAGCTGCATTAATTATCTAGTTGTGTTTATGGCAGAGGGCAAACTGGCTTCTTTCTGAATCACATTGCTACCTTTGGTATTGCATATTGATAGAGCGAGAGAGGGCGTGTGGGTATAAGAGAGAGAGCGCATCGCATTCACTTTGTTTCAGTCCCTTTTTTGCTACAGCCAAAATGAAAATGGTTTTTGGACCAAGTCCAAATGACTAAATGCGTTTTGGGCGGCGGCAGATGACGCGCAAAATAAATAGAGTGTGTGTGAGAGAGAAAGAGAGAGAGAGAGAGACAGAGAGAGCAACTGGTGAGATAGAAAAAAATAAGAAACTTTTCGGAAATTATTAAATTAATTCCAGTGGGCTGTCAAAAGTAGAAGAGAAAATCTTATAGCTGCCAAACACGAAGATTATAAAATTACAAAAAAATGTCAACTAATTAATGAATATTATATAATTTATGGCCGAATGGAACTGATATAAACATGCAAATTTCTACATCAAGAAATCTCAAGAATCTTTGGCTAAAGAAGTTCAATGTACTAATATTTAACTTAATTCAGCCAGAATTAAAATATAGACAAGAAAATCATTTCCACATCAGATGCCACAAATTTAAAATAGAATTCAGTGTTTCTTTTTTTTTATAATAATAAAAATCACAGATTTATATAGTATCTGTGGTCATTCGTATAACGAATGCAAATCTGTGGAAACTAAGAATTCGCTAAAAATAAAAATTGAACAACGCATTAGTGTTTTTCCAAAAGGAACATTTCCGTTTTTAGGTTTTCTCTTATACTTTCTTTATTTTTATATTTACGACCATTAATTTTTTAATACTATTCAGCTGAATTTATGTTTTGTTTTGATGAGTAGCTCACATTTTTTTCTTGTACTTTCTCGCAAGTGCGTCGCCTCTAGCTGCCACGCAGTGCCAAAAAAAAAAAAAAAAAAGATACTTCTCAGGCCCGTTTGTAGTGTCGCCCGTAAGCAGCTTAATTGAATTAAATTGGGCAAAATGTGTGGCCCGGCGGTGTTAATCAATTGATATGTCTCTGTCTGTCTGTAGCTCTCAAGTGGCACCCTAACAACAGCCAGAACTTTTGCATAAAGTTTGATTAGTTAACTTTGTTTTCTGGTCAAGCGAATAATAAAAGACATGCGCCGTTAAGGTGTCAATTTAAAGATAAAATATATATTGGCCACGGGCCGAAGGTCAACTTGAATAAATATATTCAGATAGAATATATGCATATACATATATTAGGTTAGATTGCTTGTTAGTCGGCAATCCTAATTAGTTGAATTAATTAATGTTCGATCTACTATTTGTTGACTGACTCACTTTATATACATATGGATGGGTATTACTATCAAAAATATATAGTTAGTGGCCTGATTAGCTATATTTTAGCTCATAGTATTTGCATTTCACAGATGATATTGCACTTAGTATTTGTATACAGCGATTTATTTAGCTAATAGAAATATTCTGGTTGACTACCCAACCGCAGGTATTAGCTATGTAATCTAATGCGACTTTGTTTAAGGTGTAGCACACTCGTTTATAAACAATTGAAAAACTCTTTAAGCATGGCAAAAATATATGTCAAACATATTTTATGTTAGTTTTATGTTTGAAGATCGATTATAGATCAACTGAGTTATATTTCACCATCGATTGCAAGCCTAGTCATAGCAACGATATTGAAATCAAGTTTTATATTTGATGATTCTATTTCATTATCGATTGAGTATCGGGAAGTATTTTTTGAAATATTTTTTTCTTTATATTATATTTTGTTTATATAGCAGAATAAATAGTTAATTTTTATGTTTAAAAATATCAATTTAATTTCTATAGAAGTAATTTATTATATAACAGAATAAATAGTTAATTTTTATGTTTAAAAAATAAATTGAATTTCTAGAATTTTTTTTTGTTATACACAAATAATATTTAACACATCATTTTAGATTCTAATTCACGCAAATCTAGAAGTATTCATTTGTAACACAAACGCGTAAAACCAAACTCATATATGTGTATATCACTCATAACTGTACATTATATACTTCGTGGCATCAACAGTTTCGGCTTGAGTTCACCTGGCACTGACATGACTTCTAGGATGCGGGGGCGTTATTTAATCATGCCGCGCCGGCGTTTCGATTATGACTGTTGATAAGAAATTTGCATTTATTTATAGCCAACGCTTTGAAAACACACGGAGCGCACATTCTGACCCGTTTTGAACTGAACCGAACCGAACGGATGCTATCTCGCTTACTCACATGCACCAGCTGCTGCTGCTGCTGCTGCTGCGGCTGCGGCTGCCTGATCGATAGCTTGGTAAGCCGTTTACGTTACCCGTTTCGGGTTGAGGCATCAACTGCAATATTTGTAAACACTTGCAACTCTATTGCGGAAAAGCGACAACTTTACGGTTTCCGGACTGCGACTGCACCACGTCTGCGCGGTTCTGTGGCGAGCATGCACTGAAAGCGCTTTTTTTTATTATTTATATAATTTTTTTTTTTTTTTTGGCATTAAGCGAACTTGCGCTGATTGATAAGGCAGCAAAATCGAAGCGCAGCAAATCGCACCGCCAGCGTCTGGCCTGTCACTGATCAACTGTGATGTTTCTGTGTTCCGCCTGTATATGAGTGTTTGAGTGTGTGTGTGAACATTTGTAACTGTAGCTGCGGCTGCATCTGTGTGTCTGCGTGTATCTCCCTGTGTAGTACGTCCCTGTGCTTGTGTGGGTAAGCGTAATCGCTGCAATCCCAAAGGTAAGACAAATGCAGCGACTGAGGCGACCTTCTGCCCGCACCTTACCGCTGCCATTGCCTGACAGCCGCTTGCATAGAGAAATGCTCGTGATCAGCGACGCGTCGTCGTCAGTGTCCGCCACTATCCACTGAGAGCGACAGAGAGAGAAGAAGTGAGAATGAGAAAGGGCAACAGGCTATGGTGATCGACTGTGCCACATTTAATGTTGTATAGAAAATACATGATTGGCGACGTAGATCCTGATGCAGTAGGTTTATAATTATTACTACTATTATTTAAAATATTTATTTATTGCAGCTTAAATCCAGATCGCAGCTTAAATATTTATATTTATTTGTATTCAAATTTATGCTAAAGTAAGAAAAGTAAAGTAAAGGGAGAACTGCAGAATTTTTGTTCATTTTCTATTTGTTGATTAAAAACTACATGTTTGGAGTTCCCATTTATATTTTAATAAGATTTATAAATAATAAAAAAATAAAAAAAATAAAGAAAACAAATAGAGGAAGTAAGAAGAGCTTGAAATGTAGAAGCAGAAGGCCAGCTTATAAATATTTATACATGTTTTTCTTTTTTTAATATTTATTTATTTATTTTTTTTGTCCATATAAAAATAAAATTTTAACAGACTTATCTCAGCTAGATTTTGCTGTTGATTAATGGAAAAAGTTTCTATAAAATAGTTGCTTCAGTGTACTTCAACTTCATCTCTCTTCACATTATATTGTATGCAAAAATCATTCAGATCTTTAAATTAATTAAAATTATTAATGTAAATATAAAATGTTGCTAGTTTTACAATTTGTTTACTGAATTGAACCATTGTTCTCTATAAATAAAATTCTTCAGGGTATTTCAACTTCGTCGCTCTCTTCACATTACATGATTAGAAATCGTTCGCAAATATCATGAGCTTAGCCCACAGTATTTACCGATAGGCATCTGGCTTATCAACTACACAAATGGCTGTCAGTGAACGCCAATTGTCACTGATAATATCCCGCTGTGATTTTGATAATATGTTAGCCAAATGCTTCGGCTATTAGCGTTTGGCTATGCTCGAATCGTTATCAGTTCACATTTTAGATTTGCTATGAACAAATTTATTGGTGTTGTAATAGGGGATTTAGCAGATAAGTGTCAGGCATGAGAAACGCACGAGAAGAGCATGGCAATAATACTAATTAGTTGTGTCTCTATCCATGCGAAATTTGTAGGGTTAGCTTTGAACTTACTCGTGGCTCATTTATCAGAAATAGCATTAGCAACAGAGAAAGGCCTTCAATTATCCGCACATGATCTTGCATAATTATCAACTATATGAATACTTATATATTTCTGTATCTTCTATATACAAATCTACACAAGCTTTCCATAGTTTAGTTTGGCATTTCTTTTTTGCCTTATTTTTTGTTTTATTATTTTATTATTTTTCGCTATTCACTCATGTGCCGCCTACTCAACAAGCCTCAACAGCTGACTGTGCCAGCACAGAATGATATTTCTTATTTATAAATAAGCAAGATATTATATTAATATATGTATATCTCTTCATACTATACATATGCATATATTTTCTTTATTTATGGCGAATTAGCCAAATTGACAAACGCACGTAACATGCCACAGTGCCTGTGAATAGTCTGCTACTGCGTCTTTGACTGCGACGACTGCGCCTTTGCGCCATTCCCAGCGAGCGGCAGGAATACGCCGGAGCTGTGGAAAGTTTGGCGGGCGCCCAATCGATTGTTGGTTGATTTTCTGTGGATGTCAAAACAATCAATAGACAATACAGCCCGAGGGCTCGAGAGCTCATGCACAAGCGCCATGCTACACGTCTAATGTCAAGACGCGGCTATGGATAGCGCTAAGTAGTCAAGTATTTGGCTGTTTGTGGTGCCGCGGTCAGTGCGTGTGTTTTTTTTTTTTTACTTTGGTGTGGGTGGGTTGCTTCCTTTGGTGGGGCAGCGCGTGTATTTTATTTATATTTGTATGACATTGCTACCCACTGAAATGTCAAAAGCAAACAAAGCCAAGCACCGCCACAATAATAATAATAATAAAAGCAACAACAACAACAACAACAACGACAACATGAGCATCAGCAATAGCAGCGATGCGAAAAACGCTTGTGCCGTTTTCAATCCAGACACACGCACAGATACAGATACAGATACAGACACAGATACACAGATACACAGATACAGATACAGATACTTTCGATTTTCACATGCTTTCGTTTTCCGTTGGCTACGCTTACGGCCCGTGCTTTGATTTGATTGGGCTATCATTGAAGCCTGTTTGGGTTAGTAGTCTCCAAGCAATGTTAAAGATAGTGTCAAGGGCCGGGCAAAGATTTTCTATTTCCCTTTTTCCTTGTAGTTTGTTTTTGTCGTTAAACAGATAAACAGCTAGGCAAACAGAATAGTAGGTGTAATTTGCTTTGCATAAATAAATGGACTGCTCATATCTGTGTGACGAGCTTAACAGTAGTTAAGTTGTTTTTCTTTCTGAATCATTTTTGTTTGAGTGAAATTGGAAAAAGTTTAAATGTGTAATTATTTAAATTTAGTCATAAATAAAAAATATGCAAAAATGACTTAACAATAAAATGATATAATAATAAAAAGAATGTATTTTCTTTTCATTTGGAATTGAATAAATATATATTTTTTGTACTTTTGGACTAATGAAAAATATAAATGAAGGAAAAATTATTAAAATTTAGTTTTATTTTTTTTTTTGTCATTAAATGCGCATCAATTAAATTTATTTTACTCCAATCAATTTAAAAAATGAAAAAAATATTTACATTTTTATTTACTTTAATTGTGACTGACAATATATTAACCAATTAACAAAAATAAATAAATATGATAAAATAGAAATTAATATTTAAAATTATATACTATTTATTTATTTATTTAAATTATTTTTATATTTTATTTCTCTTTTTGGCCATTTCTCTTTGCAGGAAATCGAAGGATAATTTATTTAATTTCAGATATCAAATTGTGTATACCAAATATTTTATTTAAGTTATTTATTTAAATTCATTTTGATTGATTTCTAAAATATATTTTTAAAAATTTAATTATATATTATATCTAAATTTAGACCAAAATTTTAATAATTTTTAAATTAGTTAATAAATTAAATATTGCAACAAAATATTGAATTATTAATGATATGGAAAGTAAATCAATCCGCATAAAAAAGTTTCCCATGCCAAAACTTTATTAAATAAGCGCGAAGTTAGCAACAAAAAATTGTAATTTCCATAGAAATTGTTACTTCATTTATGCATGTTCCACACGTAAACCCATATTAAACAGTTCAATGTCAAAATGGAATTGAAACACTTGTTCATAATTATATAAATTATGGCAACAACAATGCAGCATGGCTAATTTGTATAGAGCAAACAGTAAAAAAAAAAACTTTGCACGCACAGCTTATGTATATAGAAGATTATTTTTGTATGTATATAGCCATGATTCTCTTATGATTAATAATTTTTACTAACCTGAGCTGCTGTTGCTGTTGTTGTTGTTATTATTCTTTAATTCCGATGGATTTCCTAGTATTTGCTATTCTTCCAAGTTTTTGGCCTGGTCCGTTCACGTTGTAATACAAAAATATGTGTTGTCAGAGCTGTCGCATAAATATTGTATATATAAATATATATGTATATATTACATATATTTATGTTTATAGATATATATGTATATATTTATATATGGAAGTCGTCGTTATGTTTTGGCTATGTATTATTGCGTGCTTTGGTATCGTTATGTGGTATATAGCCAGCGCCGCCTTTAAACTGTGCCAAGGAACTGTGGCCCAGCGAGCGGGTCGAGTGGCGAAGGATGGACGATTTGCCTGGCCTGAACTTTCACTTTTAGTGCACACACACGCACACACTCTCTCACAAATTGTGCCCACAGATGGCGCTAGTTGCTTAGATAACACTTTTCTTTCTTCTCTTTTTGTATTATTTTATAATCATGCACTGCTTACAAAAGGCGGATATGTTTAGGATTAGACTTTATTTTGACTTTATTTGGCTTCCGTATCTCTCTCGCTTTCTTTCTTTCTCTCGTTCTTTCTTTCTTGCACACACGCGACGGCTGATGGAAAGTTGTGATTATAATAAAAACCAGGAGCTAGTTAGACCGTCGGGTTCTACTCGTGGCGAATGTCAAGCACGCCGAGACACACACTAGAGCTCACGCCAAATACGATACGATACAAAAATTTCAATTTCAATTTAAATCCATTTCTGTATTTTGCCAGCGCTCGTCGTGGCAGCCGTGGCAGCACCGCCAGTTGTAGTGGCAACGGCGGCTACTTGGTCGCAATAAGAGTGTCATTCAAGGGCATTGCAAGGTCATAGCAGCTCACCAGCGACAGTCGACTGTCGACAGTCGGCGGCAGTCGGTAGTCGGCAGTTGCGTCTTTCGCCCACTGGCTGGCTGGCTGGCGGGCTACGCTGCCGAGAGTACGCATTGGCATGGGACTCATTCGGATACATATACAGAAAGATACGATACGAGCACTTTTTTCGCAACTGAGAAGAGAACTTGTTCGCATTTAGAGAGCGTGAGCGGCGAGCGTGAGAATTGAGAGTTGAGCAGCTGGCCCGCCCGGCAGATCGCACGCTGCGCTTTAATTAGTATTAATTTGAAATCAGCTGATACCCAACTATTGCTGCCGCTACTGCTGCTTCGAGAGTATCTTATACAGATACAGTTACGCTTCAACTCACGAATTGCTTTCTAGACTTTTTTAACTGCGACCAGACGCGTCGTCGGCTGCTGCTGCTGCTGCTGCTGCATTGCGTTCTGCTTGCGATTCAGCCTGCCTGCCCGCCCGTGCGGTTGTCCTGTCGTGTGGCAACTGACGAATCGAATTCGAGTATGCTGCAAGCTTTGCCGCTTGAAACTCTCACTTTTCTCTATACTTCATCGGCTCTCCGTCTAGCACAATGGGTTGGCTAGGGTGCTGTTTACGTATTCTGTGAGCGGGAGAGGAAGAGGGAGAGCAAGCATCAATTACTTTGCTATCGAACCGTGGGATAAAAGCTTAGGTGGATCTGAAGTAATTGTAGGTTTACTGAAATTTTTAAATTATATATTATTCAAATTTATAATGAATAAAATATATTATATTTTGTACTAATATGTAATAATAATTTAATATTTTAAAATACAAAAAATACCTTTATTTATAAGTAAATAGATCGTAGAGCAGCTATGAAACAAATTACATAGTTGAGTTCACCAGCTGATTTTCCTGTTTGATTGCCTTATTCCGTTTCCACCCCAAAATGAAGTATGTATTTACCTGCTCCAGAACAATTGCAAACTACCTGAAATGAGGCTAAACCAATTAATATTGTTCCACTGTTACATGCTGTGCTGTGGTCCCGTTTAGTCTCAGTGCGCTCTCCCTCTCTTTCTGTTTCTCCCGCTCTTCGTCTATCTCACTTCAGCTAGTCAAGTGTAAAACCGGCGTTTATTTTATGATTATTATTTGTAAATGTTATTGTTTTGCTTAATGTTTGCTGAAATCGTTTTTCATTGTTTTGTTAAGCTTTTAGTTTATTTTAAAATTGCAGTTTATTTAGTATTTTTACCAGCTGCCAGCCTGTCTATGATGTATTGTTTGAATACAATTGTATATACAAAATATTAACAAGTTGTGTGCGTGTGCTTCTATATGTACATTTTGTACATACATACATATGCATGCATATACATATGTACATATAGTATTTAATACCTTGGGTCTTCTGTGCTCTTCGCTCTCATCTTAAAGGTGCGTTGACCGCAATTGGCCTGCCTGCTGCAATACTACTGCAATTACTGTACACTATAGGTATGTATATATGTCGTATGTAGATGCCGCTGAAAATGTACAGATGTTTATGTATGTATTTGTATACGTGCTGGTGCTGGGCATTGTATTCTGACTCGAAATTATCCAAACAATCAAGCGAACGAACGAACTATGCCGCTATGCTGTGTTTGTATTTCTCTCATTTGCTTATTTTATCTCTCACCGACTCTCTCTCTCTCTCTTGGTGTGTTGTCATGCTCTTTGGATAATTCGCTCTTCTGTTCCACTTTCAGCTGTGGGTCAAAAGCTACTTTCGCTTTCATTTCAATGCGGCGGCGCTCTCCCAAAACAAAAATCATTCTCTGTTATTTCTACCTCTGCCACCGCACATAAATTGCGCCTACCATGAGCTGGTTCGAAAAAAGTTTGCTTTAAATCTGCTTTGTGTAGCGCTTGAATTTTATTTGGCAATAATTATTTAAAGCCATTAGCATTTCGGAGTTCGTACATATTTTTCGTAAATTTAATCTAAAGTTAGTTAATGATTAAGTTAAACAAATTTTATATATTATATTGGTTTAAATGAGTAACAGTAAATATTTATGTTATTTTAGGCCCAAATTGTAAATTAAGATTAATATGAGAAAGTTTATTTCAGTGTTAACGCAACTTCTAAAATGGTCAGTTAATTTCAAAATTTAAATATTATATTTTTATAAATTAAAAAATTTATTTGCATACTTTTAGGTGAACATATTATTATTTACATTGTGATTTAATAATAATTCAATTAATAATAATGCATTGTAATAAAAAACATTCACTTGAATTTATCATTCTATTTAAATTTGCTTGCGTCTTTTGAAAGGAGCTAAGCTTTCATTCGACAAAAAGCTTTTTTGCGCAACTGCTTTGCAGCCCTGGCAGCCGAGACGCCCACAGCTGAACAGCCCTGAGCTCGTAGCAGACAGCTGATTTTCTCTGACGTTGATTGTGTTTACGTGCTTCGTTTGATATTTGCCAATTGCTCGATAAGTTAACATAAAACGATTTCTCCGCGTTTCGTGTGGCGTTATCGCCCACCTCTTCTACTGCTCCACCTAAAAAGTCAGCAGAAGCGAAAGCTACAGCACATATACCAAATGTCAGCCAGTTTGCTCTGTGCCAGCAGTACCCAAAATTCGCAACCTACGCAGGTGCCCGCGCTACCAATTCAACAGCAGCAACTGCTACTGCGACAACAGTTGCTCAGCTGCGATGGGAAAGCAGCAGCCCCTCATGTAAGTGAATTTTCATCTTTTTAGTTGACGAAGGTCAGTCAAATCAGTAGTGCATCAGCCCAGTTTCTGGTCGTCATGGCAACCGTAAACAGTTGTCTTCTATTTATGCGCTCAGCTGATTATACCCTACAAATGCATTCCACTGAATTGGAGCATATTGGAGCCTTCGTGAAGTATGTAACAGAACAAGCTGACATATGCGGAAGGAGTATGGAATGTGTGGAAATATTTTTTTCTATTGCTCGCCTCGGCATAATTTTGAGTTCAACTCAAATATAAATAAAAAATTTCATATGAACAAAAGTCCGCCCTTCATCGCATTCCATTTCATGCCTTCGCAGACCACTTGAGCCTCTGTGCCAGAACTTGCCTAACCAGTGTTTCGTTTCTAGCATTCAGATTTGTCAGTTCTCATTTGATTGCCGAGGCGACACATACAGAGAGTCCCCGGTCTAGAGAAGCAAAGTAAATTTCATTAATACCAACAAGATCGTTTTGGTATTTAGCTATATTACTTTTCCCTCCTCTCCCTAGATGCTCATTGAGGATGAAGTTCATGGAGTCATTGAGATCCCCAGTCACATTGAGGAGATCGTCAATCATCCAATATTCCAGCGACTCAAAAGAGTGAAGCAAACGGGCCTGCTCTCATTGGCCTTCAATCCGGCGTCGACGCAGACGCGTTACGAGCACTGCATTGGGTGAGCTAGCTGAGCTGCTGTAATGAGATGAGGAAATTAATTAACGTTTGCTCCATTACAGCACTTACAAAAGCGCACAGGATCTACTGGCGGCCCTCAAGCGCAATTCCAACTACGAGCGAGAGCTGCCCGAATGGTGCCGTCGATCGGTGGAGATTGCGGCGCTGCTGCACGATGTCGGACATGGTCCATTTTCGCATTACTGGGAACAAGTTTGTGGCGAAGGCCAGTTTGATGTGAGTAACGGTTCTTATAAGTAAAAAACTATATAAATATATATGTAAATACCTGTAATACTCACTCGCTACGTAGCACGAGCTCAACGGAGTGCTCTGCGTGGATAGAATATTTGCTGATATGAAATGCGAACTATTGCGATCTCTTCGCGACGACAATAACGGGCGCGGTGTGCAGCTGATAAAGGCCTTGATTTTGGATCAAAGTGAGATGCTCACCTATCCAATGCTGGGACTCGGCTACCTCTTCGACATTATCCACAATAGTCGCAGCGGCCTCGATGTGGACAAATGGGATTATCTGCGGCGCGACAACAAGCGCCTGAAGCTGCTGAGCGACGAGGATATGCAGTTCGATGATGTTTTCCTCAAGGCGCGCATTGCGCCCGATGGCCAACGCATTGAGCATCGCTACGAGGACTTCCATCTTATATATAAGCTCTATATGGCACGCTGGCGTCTCCACATTGGCGCCTATCAGCAGCCCAAGGCGCTGGCCTTCGATTATCTGCTGGGCAAGATTGTGCGACGCTGCCAGCCACATCTGATTGATGTGCGAGCCGATTCCAAGGAGTGGCTAGATTTATATGACGATCGTGTAATGCAGCTAATAGAGAGCGATCCGCTGACCGTTTACCTGCACTCACCTGAACGTTGGATCGAGTCGGCTCCCTGTGACGGCAATAATGAGGAATGTGTATGCGTGAGACGTAAGAAGACGGCGCCTGGCGTTGACATGCAACCCGATGAGTGCTATCCGCTGTATGGCGATCCCAGGTAGGTCTCTTTTTATTGTATTAAAATATATATTTATTACATTTCATTACATTTTACTACAGCAAGAAGCGCAGCTTTGAGCGTCTAACTGCTCCAACCATAATCAGCGCTTGCTATACCCTGCAATAGCCAAAGCTGCTTCGCTGGGATAGTAAACTGCGCAGCCGAATTAATTAAACCCACAGTTGATTCCTTTTTATGTTTTCTCAATATGTTTTTATGTTTGCCATATATTTTGTATATTAATAAATTTAATGTGTTCAATGCTCAGGAGTTTGATTTGTTTCATTTATCTCTGGCGTATTTTACGGCGGGTATATAGTTTTCTCAATTTCATTTCCTCCCATTCATTTCTGCTCTTTATTTCAGAATATATATTCCATAATCAACTTTGATAACTGTGACATTTCCTAATTGTCTTAGACATTTCGACAAAAAACAACACATTTATTTATATAATCTTTATATAATCTTATTATAATCTTTATTATTTTTACAGTTTGTGAGCTTAAAGTTCTTAATTCTATTTAAGATTAGGCGTTTATAAACAACAAATTTCAACAGTTCACTTGAAGACATCACAATTCGAATGCAGTTTCTCATAATCACTAACTAAACAATATAAATAATTTTGTATTAAAGTAAATGATTAACGCTTTTTCAAGACCAATTCGAAATATACAAAATGATAAACAATTCATGATTATTGGCTACAGCATGGATGGGCTTGTGTGGTAGGGGTAGCGCACTTGACTACAGGATCGAGTCTATATAATTTTTACAAATGTGTAGAGTGAGGGAACGAGAGTCCTGTCCAGACGAGGCCGGACTCAATTGCGCTCCAATGCGGCTGCATGGGCCGTTTCAAGCCGCTGGGGCAAATGGGCAGCCAGATATTGTTTGTGCAGTCGCTGGCGACAGAATTGATAGAATTCGATTTCATTGGTGAAATTCCGGCGCACAATATCCTTGACGTGCTCGCTCACGGGCGGCTTGAAGTTGTTCTTGTTGATCTTGGTCAGATACTCGGCGCTAGCTGAGAGTTGGAGAAGAGAATTATAGAAGAGTTATCAAATCAGAAAATGAAGCTGGCTGTGCTTGGGCTGTGAGTGAGTATGGTGCAGTCGGTCAGGCTCGATCTGTTCAGTTGATCTCTTTTACTTACTCGCATAGATATCCCGTACACCCTCAAAGAAGCGTGGCACGTATTTCTCCAGCACAGAGAGCGTTGTATTGAAGTCCTCCAGGACGCCAACCACGGCATATTGTTGCTCCACGGCGAACTTGGCGCGCTCCAAAGCGCCCACCGTATTGAAGGGACTGTGGAGGGAGGGGAATACTGGCTTAGATTATTTATTTATATTTATCGACTAGCTCTACTCACGTGCATTCGTAGTCGTGGCCACAGAAGAACAAGCTCTGGCGTCGATGATCGCCAATGCCCTCGACTGTCACGCCCTGGGTGTAGGTGCACTCCTGATCGCCGCTGAGCACGCAGGTCTCGAAGTCCTTCTTCAGCCAGGCTGGATGCGGCAGGGGCAGATCGGGGAAGGCGGCCTTGCGCTCCACGAAATACCATGGGGCACGCACATAGTAGAACCAGCTAATCACACGCTCCACCGGATCTCGCACCACATTCAGATAAATGGGCGTGGGCAGGTTGAACTTGGTGAAGTTGGTGAAGCACACGTGCTTGATGAAGACGGACGGCTCGGGCAGCTCGCTGATCACCTCGGCCATTTCCTGCTGCTGATCCTCAGCGAGGCGTATGGTCTCCACCTTCTGGACGGCATCGCGATGAAACTGAAAGTTGTTGCGCTCCGACAGTCGGCGCAGCAGCTCCATAAATGTCTGGCTGCCCACTTTGGGCACACGATTGAAGAAGACCAGCTCCATTTGAGCCTTGCGCGTGTTATTCAGATCGCGCACGTTCAGCGTGGCCATCTGATGTAAGAGAAATGGAGAGTGTTAGAACATGGACGAGATGAATGAGGAGGAGGAAAGAGATTTTTTTTTTTTTTAATTTTATTTTGCCATTTCTCATTAGCTTCAAACATAGTTACCTCATGTTCCTTGGCGTTTGATATTTAATTCGTACCTAAATAATTTCACAGACTGTATAAATCTTAACTTTATGCTGAAATGGGGTGGGGGAGCTTTTGCAATATAAAGCTGCAAAGCTAACAGTTGAGAGACAAGTCCGTTTAATATTCAAAGAAGCTTTAAAGTTGTAAGGTATAATATTATTATTAATATTCATTAATACTATTATTATTTTATTATTTATTTATTTTTTATTAATACTATTATTATTTTATTATTTATTTATTTTTTTAAGTATAAAAAATTGTACATATTAATAATTATTATATCATATATTTTTATAATTCATCTTTTATTTATTATATTATTTATTACTATGAGTTTTTATTTATTGAAAATAATAAAATGTAAAAAGTTTATTACTTTTACATATTTATTACTTCATATGGTATTAATATTAAAAGCTTCTAAAAAAAAAAAATAAAAATAAAATTCAATTTTTGTTACATATGTATTTGTTTTGACTTTTATTTTTGGTATACATAGAGAATTGTATTTGGTTATTCCCCTTCAATTCAAGCTCTTCTCCAGTTTCAGTGCCAAATACTGTTTATATAGACGCTGTTTGCAGAAGTTATAGAAATCATATTCCCGGCTAAAATTACGCCTTACCATGGCCCAAACATCGGCATCCACAGCGTAGCGACGGAAGGTGCTGTAGCTTTGCTTGTGCACTGCGAAAAGGGAGAGAGGGAGAGAGGGAGAGAAAGAGAGGATGGGAATGGGTATTGGGTATTGGATATGCTATAAGGGTAACCTACAGTTGAACAGCGTCAGCGCATGATTGAAATAACGTGGCACGTACTTCTCCAATACGGTGAGCGTAATGTTTGGCTGTTCCCATGTGCCCACCACGGAGTATTCCTTCTCCACATTCCGTTTGGCCTTTTGCACTCCGTAGCGTGTATTAAAGGGTCTGCAGTTGGGTAAGTTTTACTGGATTCTTAGTCCGATCTCAAGCTGTACTCACAAGCAATCGATGTCATTGCCGCAAAAGAACAGGGATTGCCTCTTGAAGTCCTCCACCTCATCCCTCATCGAATATTCGATGTATTGGCACTCAGGACTGGCACGACGCACGCACTCACTGAAGCTCTGCTTGTACCAGGCATCTGGGTGCTGCGGGTAGGCCGGATAGATGTTGCGGCTTATGATCTGCTTCTTCAGCGTGCGCTGCTGATAATAATTATCGAGCATGCGCTCCACTGGATCCCGCACTAGGGATATGTAAATGGGTTTGCGTCGATTATATTCCGCAAAGTCGATCCAATTCCCATGCGCCACATAGAGCGAACCATTCTCCAGTCGACTGACGAAACGCGTCTCAATCCTCTCCTGCTTGGCCGTGCGCATGAGACTCTTCTTTCGCACCGGTCCCTTGAGCACCAGATTCACATCGTTATGCTTGGAGAGCAGGCTCAGCAGCGGAAGCATTAGCTCTGTGCCCACCCGAGTCGGACGATTGAAGAAGACGACGCGACGTCGAGCACGTCGTGTATTGTTCTGCCGGAGCGTCGTAACATTGACTAGCTAAGAGAGCATTCGGTTGCTAGATATAGCTTTCGATAATTGTAGGCCCAACACAACACAGATAACTGCGATTAAGCATAGGGTGAGTCACAAATAAAATGTGCAATGAAACTAGACTCCAGGTGGGACTGTTCGACTAAGAGATAATCTGAACCTTGCGAAGAGCTGAAATTGCAAATATTTTCAGCTGCTATTCTGCATGTATAACAAAAAATACTTGCACACACACAAACACAGATAAGCATAGGCACGACTTCTGCTAACTGACACAGCGATAATACATATACATTTATATTTTTATCGAAATAATATATAAATATATTTAAGAAACAATTCACTGATTTTCCACATTCAATAGATGCAGGGTATAGAAAACTTATATAAAATATTTTGTGTTAACAATCAAAAGTCTTTTATTTGTAGGTCAAAATATGCATATGTTTTTATATATATAACTTTGGATTTCCTGAGATAAACGCTGTAATTGCTTGCTATAAGATTACTCCCTCGGATCTAATCAAAATTGAGTCGCTCCAGCTCAGCTCGCTTTAGAGCTATGTACTGCTTAAAGAGACGCTGCTTGCAGAAATAGTAGAAATCATATTCGTGGGTAAAATTACGCCTGACCATAGCCTTAACGTCTGCATCGACTTTCGGCTTTCGGTTGTTACGATTGCGATTCTGTAGCGATTTCTGATACACTGCAAAAAGTAAAATGTTGGACTTGAGCTCGTTCGGTTTTACTTGTGTGGAATCTCTTACATGGATATAGCTTTGTGGCACGCGCAAAGTATCGGGGTATATAGTGTTCCAGCACGGTTAGGGTTATGTTTGTCTCCTCCCAGGTGCCCACAACCGCATACTCCTCCTCAACCCTGCGTTTGGCTATTTGTATGGCCAGCGGCGAGTCGAAGGGTCTGCAAGCATTAGGCATGTGGCTTAGAGAAATGTTGTGATGGCTTAAACCATTAACAATTGGATTCATAAGTGAGATATATTTTGGGTTGAAGCACTCAGAGGGCTACCTTAGAGGGCTATCCCAGAGGGCTATCCCAGAGGGCTATCCCAGAGGGCTATCCCAGAGGGCTATCCCAGAGGGCTACCTCAGAGGGCTACCCCAGAGGGCTATCCCAGAGGGCTATCCCAGAGGGATATCCCAGAGGGCTATCTCAGAGGGCTATCCCAGAGGGCTACCTCAGAGGGCTATCCCAGAGGGCTATCCCAGAGGGCTATCCCAGAGGGATATCCCAGAGGGCTATCCCAGAGGGCTATCTCAGAGGGCTATCCCAGAGGGCTACCTCAGAGGGCTACCCCAGAGGGCTATCCCAGAGGGTTACCTTAGAGGGCTATCCCAGACTGCTTTCTCAGAGAGCTAACCCCTAAGGATTACCCCAAGGGATTACCCCAAGGGATTACCCGAAGGGATTACTCTGAAGGATTACCCCGATGGACTACCCTGTGGGATTACCATGAAAGGCTACCCCCGAAAGTTATGTCAGAGGACTACCTCTGAGAACTTCCCGAAGAGCTACCCCAGCAGACTACTCACAGACAGTCCCGATCATGACCGCAGAAGAACAGCGACTGTCGCTTATAGTTGCCCACATAGTCCTTCACCGTCTCCGGCACGTATTGGCATTCGGCGTCGCCATTGCGTACGCAGTCGTTGAAGCTCTTCTTGTACCAATCAACGGGTTTGATGGTGGCCGTCGGATGCTTGCGATAGAATATAGCATTGAGGTAGGAATTGCGCACATAGTAATACCAGCTGATCATGCGCTCTACTGGGTCACGCACTAGGTTTATAAAGATGGGCTTGGGCAGGTTGTAGTGATGGAAATCGATCCATGAGGTGTGCTCAATGTAAACGGTGCCTGGCGCTTGATTGAAAATGTGTCTAGCACGTTTAGATTGTTGCTTGGGCGTGAGAATACGGGGACCGCTTCTCTTCAGGCCCAAATAATCGACTTCAAAGTTATTGACGTCTTGTAGGTCCTCCATGAATTCCAGCAGCGATTCGCTGCCCACTTTGGCGCAGCGTGTGAAGAAAATGCGATCCATTTCGGCTTTGGGTGTGTTGTTAAGGTGTGACGGTGTCAGATCTTGCAGCTGGCAGGAGTGGGCAGTGGGGATAGAGGGATAAGGATTAGAGGAGGTGCAGCTGACACACACACACACACACACAGAAACATTTAGGATTAGACACAAGATGAGAATTCGGATATTTAGTTTGTTTTTGTTTTTATTCTACTAATAAATGTAATTATCTGGCTTTGATTTAATCATTCACTATACAGCTGCAGCCCGCTAGACCCAACTAATTCAACAGTCCATGCTTCTGCAACTCATGCAGATTGAGGGCCAAATATTGCTTGTACAAACGCTGCTTGCAGAAATGATAGAACTCGTATTCGTGTGTGAAATTACGTCTAATCATCTCCTTGACCTCGGGCTCAATGTAGGGCTTACGCTTGTTCTTATTCCGATTTGTGATCTTGTTAGTGTGCACTAATTGGTAGGGGGAAGGGGGAAGGGAAGGAATGAAGGAGGAGAAACCATTAGAGTCAGCATTTTTTTTTTTTTGGCTAGTGAAATGCCGTCAACCTACTTTCATACATCAGCTTCGCGCCGCGAAAGAATCGTGGTATATAGCGTTCCAAGACGGTCAGTGTGATGTTCGTATCCTCCCAGCTGCCCACCACGGCGTAATCGCGCTCCACATGCTCCTTGGCCATTTGCACGGCGGTGGGCGAGTTGAAGGGACTGCAAAGTGGACGGACGTTTGAAGGCGATTCGCTCAGAGTGGGGAAACCCTTCCGGCTACTTACAGACAATCGTCATGATGGCCGCAATAGAACAGGGATTGCCGCTTGAAGTTCGGTATGAAGTCCTTGACCGTATGCGGCACGTACTGGCACTCGGGATCGCCGCTGCGCACACATTCATTGAAGTTCTTCTTGTACCAGGACTCGGGCTTGATTTTCTTATTCGGCGACTTGCGATACTCGATGGCATTCTTGTACGAGCTGCGCGCATAGTAGAACCAGCTGATCACACGCTCCACCGGATCCCTCACCATGTTTATGTAGATCGGCAGGGGCAAATCGAACTCGCTAAAGTCCAGCCAATTGATGTGCCGTATGTAAAAGGTGCCCTCGTCCAGTCCAGCCACCAGCTCCGCTGCCTCGCGTTGCGCCCGTTTGGTCATTTGCCTCACGGTCGGCTCACGCAAGCCGCTGCGCTCCAGCTCCAGGTCATCGTTATAGTCCACCAATGCTATGAACAGCTCCAGCATTGCCTCGCTGCCCACCTTGGCGGCACGATTGAAGAACAACACCTCGACTTCAGCGTTTTTTGTATTGTTCAGGCGGTCGGCACTGAGACGTTGCAGCTGCGGATCGGTTTTATATTAACTTTCAACTCTGATAGTCCCGGAGTAAGAGCCAAGTTAATGGCAGAGGCAGAGCCCATAACACGTTCGAAGCAGTTCAGCGAGAGCAAATAAATTGACAGCATAGATTTTTTAGTTCATAAAATGAAGGGACTTTGAGACCAAGTCTTAAGCGAAATGTATTAAGAATTCCTAAATCAATATCTTTTCTAATAGCTTAGCAAATATTTAGCTCTGTTTCATAAATGGAAAGTTTGAGCAAAAGAATTAAAGTTATATTACCAATGGCAAATATTTTAAATAAAAAATTTAACTGTTTAATTTTTTATTTAAATACTTGCATAACTCTGAACAAATGAAGTAGACTGTTTCTGAGACCAGGAATTAAACTAAACTAAATATGTTAAAAATATATTTCCTTAATAAATTTCTTTTTAAAAATTTGAATGGCAAGACTTTAACCGTCAACAATAATAACGATAAAAAAAAAAAAAAAAAAAAAAAATAATAATAATAATAATAATAATAATAATAATAATAATAATAATAATAAAAAAAAAAAATAATTAAAATAAAAAAAATAAAATAAATCAAATAAATATAAATATATATAAAAATAATAAAAAAAAAAATAATAATAAAGTAATAAAAATAATTGTAAATGATTCTGTAAATAATGCTAATAAAATAATATAAAACATGAACTATAAAACCTAAAATTCTTTCAATTATTCGAATAGTTTGCAAAGATTTGATTCCATATATATGAAGTCGACTAAATTTGAGACCAGGACTTAAACGAGGGGTACTAAATGTTCCTAAATCGATTTCAACATTTTAATCCTCTCAGCTGTTGTGCTTTAAGAAATACTAAAGTTCAATGAGTAATCCTTTAAAAACAATTTTAATTATAAATTATCAGTTTCTTTTTCAATTTTTTATTAAAATAAATTGCGAAAATTTGATGCTACATCTAGACTAAGTGCTGCACTAGCTAATCCCTGATGGCCAGTTCGTTGCCCGCTTTCAGCTCCGCTAAACTATTATCCACACGCATCAAATCATTGAGTTTTAGCGCCAGATATTGTTTGTGCAGTCGCTGGCGACAGAATTGATAGAATTCGATTTCTCGCGTAAAATTGCGTCGCACCATATTCAAGATGTCCTCACTAATGTGAGGCTTCATCGGATTGTCATTCGCTTTGGTCGCGTGAAGACCCGCTGCAAATCAGGTAATCATTAGGCAGGCCATAATTTCGACCGCAATCATCTCTGGACTTACAGTAGTACATTTTGGAGGCGTCCGCAAAGTAGCGCGGTACATAGGCCTCCAGGACGGCCAGGGTTTCGTTGGTGTGCTCCCAGGTGCCCACGACCGCATACTCGCGTTCCACATTCTGCTTGGCCAGCTGCAGGGCCAGGCGCGAATTGAAGGGTCTGCAGTTAGGGGTACGGAACGTGGAAGTGGAAACTGAACGATAACTAAGACATTTCATCACACTCACGTGCACTTGAACTCATTGTGGCCGCAGAAGAAGAGGGTCTGCCGGCGATGGTCGCCCACACGCTCCAGCAGCGAGCCCTCAATGTATGTGCAGGCCTTCTCGCCGCTCAGCACGCACTGATCGAACTCGGTGTTCACCCACTGGGGATTGGGCATTTGGCGATTGTTGCGCCGCCGCCCGGGCACAAAGATCCACGGGGCGCGTATATAATAATACCAACTGATGACACGATCCACCGGATCGCGCACCATATTGATGTAAATGGGTCGCGGCTGTTCGTACTTGGTGAAATTCAGATAGTTAACGTGGCTGGCAAAGACGGTGCCATCCTCGAGATTCACGATATTATCTATCCAGTCAGCCTCCTCGGCGCTGTCGAGCAACGCTCGAATGCCGCCATTTTGTGGATCTTTCTCCACATCATAGTCGTGCACCTTGCCCAGCGCACGCATCAGCTCAATCAGCTGGATGCTGCCCGTTTTGGGCACACGATTATAGAAGAGCACATCGATCTCTGCGTTCTTGGTATTATTCAATTCATTGGCATTCAGCTGCAGGATCTGCAAGTACCGTTCGAGAGCCCTTAAATATGCATCGCATCACAGTGAGTGCAAGCAGCAAGCGACTAGCCGAAACCCAACTTCAGATTAGTAGCGGAAAAGGGAAAAGACTCGCTTGAAATTTTCTTCACATTTTTGTTTTATAATTATAATAATCATATTATAATACTAGATTTCGAAATTAAGATGAATCGATACTGAATTTTTGGAAATTAATAAAAATAAGAATAGTACTATATTTCTAGAATTTTTTTTTCATTGACTTTAAAGTTATCGATTTCATGAGTATAAATTCTAAATCGCTTGAGTATTACTTCTGTTTATTTTCAGCCGAGCTATGCTCCTGCCCTTGTTCTGCTTGCTTCCTGATGGCTATATACTGCTTATAGAGACGTTGCTTGCAAAAGTGATAGAGCTCAATTTCGTAGGCAAACTGTTGCTTCAGATAGGCCTCCACATCCTCATCTAGATGGCTGTCGTGCGGCGTGGAATTTATCATAAATTTCTCCTGATGCGCTGTACACACACACACACAAACAACATGGGAAAAAGGACATTAGGAAAAGTCAAAAGAGAGAGCGAATGGACCTACAATAATACTGATTTGTGGCATCGGCAAAGAAACGAGGTATATATGCCTCCAGCACGGCCAACGTGATATTCGTGTCCTCCCAGCTGCCCACCACGGCATATTCCTTTTCCACATGCAACTTGGCGATTTGGGTGGCCATCTCCGAGTTGAAGTGCCTAGAGAATGGCAGCAATTAAACCAATAGCCCGTCCACTAAGTGGCCAATTACCTACGTGCAAACATTCTGATTGCCACACAAATGCAGTGTGAATCGTCGCCAATCGCCGTTGTACGGCAAATGTGGATCGAACACACATTCTGGGGCAATGCGCTGTCGAACGCAATCGTTGAAGGACCGCTCGAAGAACTCCTTTTTCTCAGTGGGCTTATTTGGATTGCGCAACAGGCTATTGGCATAGATCATGGGATGGCGCTGATAGTAATACGCACTGATCACCTTCTGAATGGGATGCCTCACCAGATTGATGTAAATTGGTCTGGGCATATCGTGCTCCGTGAAATTGATCCAATTCGTATGCTCTACATAGGCCGATGGCTCCTCCAGCTCTAGCAGCTCCTCGGCAAAGGCCTTCTCTTCTTCGTAGTTGTACACAATCTTCTTGGCGGGCGGTATCTCGTTGCGATAGGTAACATAACCGTGTAATTCTCCCAAATGACCCAAGAGCTTTGTCATACTCTGACTGCCCACCTTCTCTAGGCGATTGAACAATATGAATTCGCGTTCAGCTTTCGGTGTATTGTTCAGTTGAGCCGCTGTCAGAGTACCCAGCTTGAACGGAAGACAAAAGAATTGCTAGTCATGCGAATTATGCGCGCTGCGGCAGGGGCCGGGCTAAGCGAAGCGAGTTAGTGGAAGAGTGGAAGAAGTTGTGATCCCAAGTGAAGTAATCTGGCAGGTATCAAAACTACTTTTGAAAGAGATCAGAGATGAGCATTCTACAATAAGAGCTTTGCAGTCGTATTAGATTAAAAGCAAATCTCAGATTTGCATTACAACAATTATACAATATATGTAATCAGAGATGAGATATTCGCTTTGAGTCTTTGAAACCTTTCTCAGATCTCCTATATAGAGGTTTCATATCAAATCAAAGATCATAGCTCTGATCTCACATACAATATTACTTCAAATCTGAGCTCCGCGCGATGGTCCCACATCTTATATAGGCATATTTTAGATATAATTTGATATCATAGCTATTAAAGCAGATATTTAATATCCTAATACTATTCCGCGTAGCTTACAATAGATTTTATTCGACAACTGAAGAGAAGCCAGAGTAACACAATAGATTTACTTTGACGCCCTATAGCCAGCGAATAGACGATTTGTCAAGTTTCTTTAATGCATTCATAATGAAGAATATAGATGGACTTTTTTAATCAAACTTCAAGAACATAATAATGACATTTATATATATGTACTATGTAAAATATCATTTATTTATTTATTTATTTATTTTTTTTTAAACATATACTTTTGTAAATTTGTTTGAATGGTGGTATTTTAAATTTTAAAACTATCAAATTTTAACAAATAAATTTTATGGTGAACTAGCCACGCTTCAAAAACAAAATCCCATTTTCAATTTTATCGAGAGCAAGAAAAGGGAATGAACAATGAAAAAGATCGAACATCAGAATCTCTAACGATATTTAAGTAATGCCTGAAAAAGTGAAGTCAAATCATCGATGGTAAAATATAAGAAAGCAAAAAATTATAAACGTTCACAATTCGAAGTCTTTCAGGTCTCTTATGGACGGTCAGACAGATTCACTCCATTTATAGTACTGAGGGCTGTGCCACGGCTCCCACTACCCATTATATACAGAACTAATATACCCTGAAATATATACTAGGTGATATACTTCACTGGGCCGAGGGTATAACAAACATTGAGAGAGAGAGAGAGAAAGACATAGATAGAGTCATACAAAAAACTTTATAAACCGACTGCGTTGGTAAGAGTCTGAGAGTCAACATATATGTTAATGTATTTAGGAATTTATTGAAGCTTAGTTTATGCGAGCATATATTTACAAAATATGTATACATATTGTATATATGCACGTCTGTTTAATACTCAGAGTCGTCTTTAGCATCGTCGCCGTGCATCTCCGGCATCAGCAAATAGTCATCATCGCCAAAGCGTTTGCCATTCCCAAGCGCTGCATACTGCAGATAGAGACGCTGTTTGCAGAACTCATAGAACTCGATTTCGTTTGTCAGATTCTTGCGCAGAATCTGGCGCGTCTCGTCGCTCACGATGCGCGTGACATTGTTGCGATTGATGCGGGACAAACGCTCCTCACCCACTGCAAAAGCGACGCAAAGTTTAGGATTCCGATCTCAGCATTCAAAATATAACTCAAATGGAGCTTACGATAATAGGCCACCTTGGCGTGCCGAAAATAACGTGGTATATAGTGCTCCAGCACGGTCAGTGTGATGTTTGTATCCTCCCAGGTGCCCACCACGGCGTATTCCGACTCCACAGTGTGCTTGGCCTTCTGCATGGCCACGGGCGAATTGAAGGGCCTGACTCGGGAATGGAGAGATTCAGTGAGAGCTGTAGCTCCGAGCCCTGCCCTGCCTTGACTACTTACATGCACAGCTTCCTGTTCATGCCGCAGAAGAACAGCGTCTGTCGGCGATGATCGCCCGCGGGATTCTTCACCTGCATCTGCTCGAAGGTGCAGTGCGGATCGTGATTGCGCACACAGGTGTCCAGGTCCAGGTTGAGGAACTCGTCCGATGGCATTTTGATCGCATTTTCGCCCAGCTTGGCCTTCATGTCGTTGTAGTACCAACGCGCCCGGACATAGTAATGCCAGCTGATGATGCGCTCGATGGGATCTCGCACCAGATTTATATAGATGGGGCGTGGCATCTGGAAGCGGGTGAAATTGATGTAGGCTATGTGCTGGCTGTAGACGTGCGGCTTGGGCCGTGTCAGCAGATCACCGATCAGAGTCTTCTGGCCCTCCTTGGGCAGCATAATGGTCTCCCTGACGCTGCCCTTGTTGCGCGCGTGCACAAAGCCGTTGATCTTGCCCAGGCGACGCATCAGCTCCATTAGCGACTGGCTGCCCACCTTGGGCACGCGATTGAAGAAGACAAAGTCCGCCTCCGCCTTCTTGGTGTTGTTCAGCGCATCTGCTGCCAAATTAAAGCCAGCCTCATCATCATCATCGTTAGCTTCATCATCGTATAGATCATCGTCATCGACATTCCTTGGCATCGCCAGCTGCCTGTCGTGCCCGGCCTTGTGCAGATGATTATGCGATGTATGCGCTATGCGATGATTGTCCAGTTCATCGTGCATCATCTCGCGCGAGTGGCCATTGCGGCCATGTAGCTGGAGTAGGTTTTTGTTTTGTTTTTTTTTTTTGTTAAAGATCTAAGCTGTATGTAGATCCCATGCCCAGTTCCAGTTTCAAGCAACACACTAAACAGTTAGAAGAGTTTTGAGAGTTTTGAAAGGGCCCAGGCTGGCCGAAAGTTAGAGTAGATTTTATTCTTGAAATCTTATGCGCTAATTGTTCGAACTCTGCGCCATCTGCTGCACTGCTATAAACTGCTTATTCAGACGCTGCCTGACAAACTGATAGAACTCGATTTCCTGCGTCAGATTGCGACTGAGCAGGGCACGCGCCTGCTCGCTGAGGGCGGGTCTGAAGGCGTTCCGATTCACATTTTCCATATTGCTCGGCATGGCATAGTAGAGGTCTGTGGCGCCGGCGAAATATCTAGGTATATATGCCTCCAGCACACGGAGCGTTGTATTCGTATCCTCCCAGGTGCCCACCACGGCGTAGTGCTGCTCCACATTCCGTTTGGCCTGCTGCATGGCAGACCGGGAGTTGAAGGGCCTGCGAACGGGGGGTTGGGGTGAGCACGGCTGCGCTGCGAGAGCTGCTCGACGAGTTGGGAGTGACTCGAAGTCGTATGATGTTTAAGGAATGGAATTTACTAAGTATTCTCTTTTCCGGATTGAGTAAGTATTTGTATTTGGCTTATCTTCATATGATGTGTAATCTATGGATCTCATTCTTATTATTTCATTTTTGATTCAAATTAACATTTTTGATATAATTTGTTTCTTCACATATCTAAAAAATCTTAACATTAAACTCAAAAAATTATTCATAAAATAAAAAATAATTCGTTTTTTGTATCTTTCAATTATTTAGTCTTATCATTTAGTTAAAATATATTTTTACTTATAGTTCCAAAAAAGTTTAATAAGGAATAAGAAAATAGGTTCAATAATAAATGGATATAAATAATAAATGGATTTTTGGCTACGCATTAATTTAGAGTTTCTTAAATTGAACCAATACGTATGTTGGATTTTAGCTATAAGGTCTCATATAGATATTACTTTATCGTATTACATTTTTTTCCCAATCCAACTTTTGACAAGAATAAAAATTTTATTATTTTTTAAATATTTTTTTAAAACATTTTTTTTATTTCTTTTTTTTTTTTTTAATTTTTTTTTCGACACTTTTATTTGATTTTGATTTCACAAAAATTTTTAAAACCTCTTAGTGACAATAATTGACAGTTATATACATACAAAAAACTTATATTATTATATATATGTATTATATATTATTTTCTCAAGTACTATATTATAATTTTCTCAAGTAATAATTATAATATACAGTTGGTATTATCCAAAGCTTATTCAATGAATTGAAAGATGTATCAACTAACATACATATCATTTGAAATCAATATAAAAATTCTAATGCTCAAATATGATAATATTGATCATCTAAAATTTCTATTATTCAAAGCTTGTACATCAAAATCAAGCCATTTACAAAGTTTTCTCTAATCAACCCAAGAGCAATTTCACATTCCTTACATCAATCAGACTTTTGTCACCCAAAACTGATCGAGCATGCCTTCGCTCATCTACTCACATGCAGAACTTCGTCTGTTGGCCGCAGAAGAATAGAGTTTGTCTTCTATGATCGTCCAAGTGTTCCATATCCAGCTGCTCGTACACACACTCCGGATCGTGTGTGAGAAGGCAGTGATTGAAATCCTTCTTGAGCCACTGCAATGATGGCACTTTGAACTTGCTGCCAAAGGTGTTGACACGATCGGCCAGATACCAGGGCGCGCGCGCGTAGTAGAACCAGCTGACCAGCCGTTCGATCGGATCCCGCACAAGATTTATATAGATGGGCCAGGGCTGTCCGAACTCGGTGAAGTTGAGAAAGGCCATGTGCTTGGTATACGAATTGGCTGTGCTGCAATTGAGTATCTCGGCCTCTAATAGATGGCGTGCAAAGCCGGTATCCATGAGTATCGTTTCGTATAGATGCTTGGGATCGCGACGCGCCTGGAAATTGTTGCGCTGGGCCAGCAGCTTCAGCAGCGCCATCAGCTTCTGGCTGCCCGCCTTTGGCACTCGATTGAAGAATAGTGTATCCAGTTGAGCTCGCGGCGTGTTGTTCACCTGGGCAGAGCTGGTCAGGTGTTGTAGCTGTCGGATTGCGAAAAGTGGCAATGCAGTGGTCCAAGTGTTGTTGTTGTTGTTGTTGTCACAATCACACACACACGAATACGGGACACAGGAAAGACGAGTGGGTAGCACAACAAGTACATAAGTAAATGGAACACACACACATATTTAGGCAGAGATGGAGGCTATAAGCGGATTTCAGTTGAAGCAACAGGCACAATTGGGCTGTGGGGCAATAGGCAACCTGTATTATGCATCAGACTCGGGGCAACACGCAACAGGCATCTGGGCACACTCTCTGTTTTATTTTATTTTATTTTTTTTAAATCTTTTTATTTGCCTATAAACCCATTGGCGTCAGCGACGCAATTTGCGCAGCTGACACTTGGCTAAATGAAAATCCTAGTCGTGGACTTACCTTTTACGCGTTTACGTTTCATAATTATTAATCGAATTTCTATCATTTCTATGATGCAACTGGCGCATCTGGCACTAACTCAATCAAAATTTAATCGCAAAAAAAAAAACGACTAAAATAACTGCGCTAACAAAAATTCCAAGACTGAGTCAAAGTGTTGTTGTTGTGTTAGTGTAAGGAGGAGAGAGACAGACAGGGAGAGAGATAAAGAGAGAGATAGACCAGAGTAAGAGTCACAGCCTGAGCAGGAGAGCGAGCGCTAAGGACTAACTAAAGTTCTAATTTATTGTATATATGTGTATATGTATATGTGTTTATGTATGTGTGGGTGCAAGTGTATGTGTGGTATGTGTATGCGTGTATGACAAATACAGAGAGAGAGAAAGAGAGTGGGAGAGAGAGAGAGCGAGAGCAGGCGAACGAGAGCGATTGCTAATGCATACGATGAGCAACCCATACGATGAGCGAGACGGCAAGAGAGCGCGCGAGAGTGAGAGGCAAACAGCAGGCAAAAGTACGCACATTGTAATAAATATCAAACACCAAGGAGCCAGAACAGAGCTACCTTTTGAGAATGTTTTGGATGGTTTCGTTGAAGTCGATTTCGATTTTTTTTTTATGGCCAACCAAAATGCAAATATGTTGACGACAAATGTATGGCAAATGCGAATCATAAAACACATATATATGTATGGGTATATATATGCATATAGAAAAAATTGATAGCTTACCTGACCGGTGCTCTTCAGATATTGATAGGTGCCATGGAGCGTATTGATATCATCGTGTTCTGCAAGAGAAAGAAAAATAAATTAGAGGAGCATATCTTGAAGGCATTTATGGTGCTGTAGGAGGAGTGAGAATGGAGAGAGGGAGAGTCAGAGTGAGAGTTAGAGAGAGAGAGAGAGAGAATGAAACAATGCCATGGCATTCATGTTAGTGAACTCTCATCAGGCTCTTCTTGCATATTGTAATAAGATCACTTTTAATGGGGAAATTGAAACCAGATCTCTACTCTTTGATCTGCCGCGAGTTACTCTATAATTATTGCTAAAGTAAAATGTTTTCTATATTAGTTGAGCTATACAAATATTTTAATAAATCTTATAGTAATCGAATACTAAAATTTGATAGTCAGGAGAGAAAGCCAAAAAAAAAAAAAAAAAAAAAAAAAAATGACATATCGAATATAGAAAATTAATTATCTTATTATATACATAACGAAATGCTCTTAATTTTTGGCTATTTTTATATTTATTATATTTATTATATCAATATATTATTATAATAATTTAATTATTTATCATAAATTATTTTATTTATTTATTTCAATTTTAATTAAGCAACATAAAGGTAAAGACTGCTCCAATCGTGTTAAGTTATATATACATATATATATAACTATCGGCAATTGCTATTGATCAAACCGCAGACCTTTCAATTTCCTCAGCACACATCAATTAACTTTCAACACTCACTGTCAATTTATTACAATTATTAGCTCATATTTCTGCATTGACCTCAAACGCTCACCGAGGGCAGAGCCAAGCTCCGCCCCTTGCGGGATGTCCGCCAATACTTTTACTTTTTTTCTTTTGCTTCTCAAAAGTGTTTATGCAATATTTGCGATAGGGGAAGAGCACTCGATTGGCAAGTGGAGCTGGCTGAAGAGACGGCCAGAAATATTAAGCGAAGTGAGTGCAGTTAAATATGCAAACTCATGAAGATTCCTTTCACTTTCGCAACGAACTGCAGTCGGCAGGATGATCTACCCTATCGGGGCATATCAGATCCCATCTAGTGAAAAGCCTTATTAGCCATTGCACACTGAATGTTAAAGTCTCTTTCAATGTGTCTGCTGCGAGTTACGCCGAGTGTTGCAAGGGCAATTAAAATTTTAATGGCCACGCATATGTCAGGCGTTGGACGAGGGGCGTGGGTAGAGGCATTCAAGAGACATAGTCAGAGAGGCAGACAGAGACACTCTTTGTGTGTTAAGCGCTTGCAATCGCACACTAAACGACGGCAATTCAGCATTTGGACAGGCGGAAAACATCTTGATTATTTATATAGTTTTTTCTTCTGTTCGTAAGAGAAGTGCCTGCGGGAAGTGGTTTTCAGTGGTGTGGGTAGCTCGCACCACTTTCGTTTTGCGCGCACAGCATTTCATAATTTGGCCTGGATGAACAAGGAAGCTGGCCGCCCGTTCGAGTCGAACACATGTCCAACAATGCCCATAAACCAGATTCGATATGTGTGTTTGCCTGGTCTGGTTTTGGTCATTGGTTTTTGGCCTGGTCAGTTTCACTGAATGATCTCAATGAAAGTCCCCAGGCGGTACATAACGTGTTTGCAGCCAATCCAAGCCAAGTCACTGAACCAGAGTGAAATACATTTTGTGGTCTGGCCAGGCCACAGTGAAGCCTTTTTGCTTCGCGCGTTGTTTTACTTCTTATTTTATTTTTCTGGCACTTTTTGTGCGGTCTTGAAATTGGGTTACATGCATGTGCATGTGCACATAGCCGTATGCAGTTGCAGCTTGCAGTTTGCAGCTTGCAGCTTGCAGTTTGCAGTTTGCATTAGCTACACCCTCTCAGTTACTCGACAATTGCTCAAATCCAGTTTTTGTTTTCTTACTTCTTCTTCTGTTCTGGCTGCTATTGCAGCCAGCTCCGGCTATTGGCCATTTGCACATTCATTGAAGGTGAACCACATTACAAGTGTTAGGAGCGAGAAGGCACAGAAAGTGATATGTAATGAGATTATTTGCCCACTCAATGGCTAGACACAATATATATATTATATATGTATAGATTGGCACCGTAGAATCACAAATGACGAAACAATTAAAGTCGATTGCAATTGAAGTGTTTTAAAGTTTGTCCAATTTATATTTACATTTTTACTCTTTTCTTTTCTTTGACTATAAATGGGTAAACGTTTAAGGGAAGTAAAGCATAAAAAAAAAATATATTTAAGAAAAATGTAATACAAAAATAAATAAAATAAATAAAATAAAATAAAATAAATAAAAATAAAAATAAAAAAATTAACTAAATTGCTCAAATTTTGCATATATTTAAGCTAAATAATTTTTTACAAATTTAATTTAAATAATGCTTATTTTTAGAATTAAAGTCTAGCTCAATTTGAATTGCTACAAAGTTCTTTTAAAATTTGTAGTTATTTTCCCCCTTTTTAGCAACTACAATTAAACAAACTTCCATATATATAAAAGATAAATATTTATAAAAACTTTTATTAAGGTTCAGCTAATTTATTTTTTATATTTTTTATTCCCACTTTTTACATAAAATTGATCAATTTTAAATATATAATATCTAATAATCTATACAAAAATACAAATTAAATAACAATAATTTTCCTTTTCCATACAATTCAAGTCTTTTTGCTTTCATTTCAGCCTAACTCAGTGTAGTAGCAGCTACTTGGCTCAGCCCCTTGTTTGCAGCTATTATTTGTTGTTTTGGTCTTTTCAGTTTGAACAGCTTTAACTATAGTTTTGCCTAGCCCAAAGGCCAACTAGCTGGTTAAGTGTCTATCGTGTGCTCCAATTGGAAATAAAGTTTCTGGCGGCTTAGGCCAAACCGCATTTAACTGGTTTTTGCATGCAATTTTATTTGGTAGCTGCTATGGGTAGTTTGCTTGTAATATTTGCTTATTAAATTAATTAAATAGAAAAGTTTGCAATGGGAAATGTTTGTAAGCACTTGAAGAATTGAAATGTAAGGAAAACTAATTTACATGGTAAAAGTTGAAATAGCAAGACAAATAACAACATAAATTAAAAAAAAAAAAAGTTTAAAATAATAGTATTAATTATTATAATATAAGAAAACAGTTTGAGTTATGAAATTGTTTGTAATTTTATTTTTTAAACCAGATTTTTGTATTCACGTTTGGACTAGTAAAGATTGATCTCTTTTATTTATTTTATTTAAAAAAGTGCTTAAATTACGCCGTTTTTTTTCAACATTTTTCAATAACATTTTAAACGCCTAAATCTAATCAACAGCTTAATCAGCTGTTAAAAGGAAGCAATTGTTTATATTAACACTCTCGCCTACTCACTCAATATTATCTAGATTTTGACTACAAAGAACTGTTATCAACCATATAAAATATATGTTTATACATTAACGGCAGTAATCTCTTCAATCAAATCTCACACTTTAGCGGCATTTTTCAGCTTTAAGAACGAACTGCCAGCTACCTGCTAACTGTGTTAACATGCTCATCAGAGCTGAAATAAGCCGCAAGTCAGCAAGATAAGAAATACACACACACACACACACACACACACACACAACATAACGTTTTACCTTGTTTGTTAATTAGCCCAAGTCAAGTTCAATGCGGCTGCCATAAATGTATATACATATATAAGAAGAAAAAGATTAAGAGTGTATAAAAAAAAAAAAAAACAACAGCTGAACACCTGAATGTGTCATCGGCTTGACTCGTGTGAGTATTTCGAGTGCACTCGCATTTGTTTTTCAAAGTCGTGCGAGTCAATTATATGAAATATTTATGAATGAATAAACGAATGCTTGGCTTAGGCTAAGAGGCGGCATTTGCTGAAGACAACAAAATATTTTATCCACGTCAAGCGAAGGTTTTTCTCTCTTGTCTTGGCCATTAGCCATTTCTCATTGGCTTTGGGCCTAAACAGACAATTTGTAACTGTCGTCTGAGCTCACAATTGACGCGTGCGCAGTCGCAGACAACTACAACAACAACCACAAAAGCAATAACAATAACTGCTAGCGAGTCACAAGCATAACCGTGGACTCTACAGCTGCTGCGCAGCGGCAACCCACAACTGGCTGAATATCTTCGTATTGGAGCGCATCTGCAGACAAAGCGACGTCAGAGTCGGAACTATCATCATTGTGATCACATGACTGCTGCACAGTGGTACTAGCATGGTGCATACTTGCTATAAATTTCGGCATATATTCATGAGTCTTAAGTGGTTGAAACTAGCAAAATGAAATTAGTAAATTTAAGATAATTTTATAATAAATGAGAAATAAATAATAAATACTTAAGGAATCATATAATAAAATAAATTAATAAAAAAAAAAAAAAAAATAAAATTAAAAAATAGATAACAATACATAAATAAATAAACAAAACGTATATAAATAAATAATTAAATGAGAATGCATATATGAATAAATAAAAAATAAAAAAATAGATCAATTAATAAAAGCATAAAAATATATTTAAAAATAAATAAATAAACTAAATGTATTAATGAAAAATATATTTTATTAATTAATAATTAAAATCAAATGAAGATGAGAATGATACATGAACAAATTAATTATATAAAAAAGAAAATGTATAAACAAATAATCAATAATAAACCAAATAAAATAAATAAATAATAATAATATATAAATTAATTAGGTTAAAACAATATATGTATATATATAAGGTATTTATTTATTATTTCATAAATAAAAAACGAATAATTGATAAGTCATCTTTTTATAAACAAAATAAATTAGAATTATTATTTCTAAATTAATAAATAATAATTCGGATATCTTTTCAATAATCTCTGCCATCTCTCATCCCACTGTGCTTGATTCACTTGGCTTTTATGGCTAACCGTCAGCGCACTTTGGCGTGAAGCAGCCGTGTCGCATTATCCCCGCCATCAATCCCCCCTCCTGCCCGCTTGCGCATCTATCCACGTATGAATTTGTCCGCTAGGTTTTTGGCATACTATCGTCTCGACGCTCGACTCTCGAGTCTCGTCTCGACTCTCGGATTTCGCCAGTGGCAGCTGCCGCGGTAAGCAGCTCTGACTAATTTGCAAGTGGAATTGCAGGCCTAGACGAACTCGCGCTTCCGGCATTGGAATTAGGGTTTTGCATGCGGAAAGTTTGATTTGATTTCAAATGAACGTATTCCGCTGCAGCTGCACTCGCAGTAGCAACAGCTCGCAGTAATAATAGAGTTATTAGTTGGTGAGCTGATTGGACATAAGTATGGGCCTCCACTGCCAAGATTCTAATGATAGGCCCAATTGTGCTATAACACCAGCAACTCGCCGTACTTGAACACAACTCTTTAAGGTATACAAACAGCGACATGGTGCCCGGCTCAACTGGGCCACGCTGTTCAAGTGGCGTTCGTGACGCCTCAAGCTAACACTTTCGGGCCCCGAGTGCAAAGAACAGTGTCAAGTGGCACTCAAATTACTTTGTGTAGTTTCAATTGGCATGTGAAATCTGATCTAGTTGTATGTTTCTGATATGGGCTGACCAAATGCCAGCAATTGAGTAAGAAATTTAAATAAAAAAAAAAAAAAGAGTTGATAAGTTATATAGTAATTTTTTTTTTTTAATTTGGAAAATATTATCAATTATTATTTTTATTATTATGAAAGAATATAATATTCAAATGATTGCGTCAACTTTTCCGACAGCGCTTTATTGAATTTTCATGACTCGCTTAAATAAGTGATATCTATAATAATATAATAGCTCGCACATTGGTCTGAGCTCTTGAAAATGTGAACGAAATGACATTGCCTTAGAATAAATTATGGAACAATGTCAAATGGAACGACCGCGGCGATCAATTTAGGAGCTCTCATTGCAAAGAGAGCAGAGTCAAGTCGACAAATTGAGGGAGAACCTTGCTCTGCTCGACTTTTATCATATTAGGTATAATAACAGCTGGGTTGGAATGAATATTGTTTTATTTCCCTTATTATTACATATAGCTAGTAAATAATTAATTATCAAACGACAAGTCTTATAGAATAGTGTGTTTATTATTTTTGTTAACTTAAGTAACTGCTGAAATATTCAAAATTTTATTTATGATTCTAGCTGAGACCTTAGTTTCTTTTAATGTTGAATTTGGATAATATGCAATTTTTTACAAGCTTGAGGAAAAAAATAATTGAAAACCGTTCATCAAAATATAGAATTAGCTATATGTGCTCATGAATATGGAATATGGAATATGGGATATGGAATATGGAATATGAAATATGGGATATGAAATATGGAATTTGGGATATGGAATATGGAATACGGAATACGGAATACGGAATATGGAATACGGAATATGGAATATGAGATTACGACAATGGAATATGGAATATGAAACAGTTGTGCTCTTTACTCCTATTAGGCAGGGAGGGAAACCACGATAAAAATTTTGTTTAGAAATATTCGCAAAGGAAAAATTTTAAATGAGAATTTCCGGACACTTATTTGACAGAATGTATATAAACATATTAATTTGTAATAATAATGCTAAACAATAGCTTTTGCTGGTGTCTAATTATTTATTATTTATTTGCAGTCAAATTTAAGCTCTTCTATACAAATTTCTCCCTAATAATAGAAATAAAACTTTCAATTAAAAGTATATTATTTTAAATATTAAAATAATGCGAACAAATTTAATTTATTCATCTGGCCTTAAGCATATTCAATATCTATTTAGCTGCAGCATATTCTATGGCACCGCATAATTCACAATTTCCGCAGCTTAAAAACTAAAAGCGCTCTAGCTTATGAATATTTACTAATTGAATTAATAAATATAAAAATATATATGTAGGTAAATGTTTTAAAAAGCTGCATCATTTATCCATATATATATATATGTATATGCATTCGTATATGTATTTAGTTAGAAAATAAAATAAACATGTTCGCATGCTTAACGCATGTCAAAAGGTTAAACTGCCCTTTGGAAAGCCATGAACTAGACCCCTTTTGGGAAAAACTGTGCGCTGGCATAAGCTAAATAATTCATAAATATACTGGAATATGAAATATAGATGTATATATGGATTATTGTAAATTGGTGAAGTGCTGCTATGTCTATATGCTCCGATATATTTATTATGCTTATTTTAATTGAGCTCATCTGTCTGTGTGTCTGTGTGTTTGTATTTGGGTTTTGTCATAATTTATGCATGTATAAAGAATTGCGCTCTAATTTGGCTTAAAACATTCAACTAATTTATGGTTTGCCAGCGAAATACATTGCAGCACGGAAAGTGTTAACAAAAAGGCATTTTGCCGCTTTGTTTATGGCCTGGGTCAATGTGGTCATTAAAAATCAATTGGGCGTAGCCGCAGCGCTGCGTTTGCGTTCGCTTTGAGCTTCCTGTGCTGGAAGGGCTCATATCCGATAGCTGCAGTTGTAGCTGCATCTGATAGTCGGCATTTGTAACTGTATCTACGCATGTACAATCGAGCGAAAACTTTGACACACTTGAAGCCTTTTGCCGGCCTTGTCTCTAACAACAGCCCCGATGCGTTTTGTATTTAGATTCGTATCTATTTGGCTACTTACTGCCCGCATCATGGCCGCTTATGTGATTGCCAGTTAGTCCCAGGGCCGAGAATTCCGATGGCTGCAGCTTCACCTCCATCTCCTTCAGACGACTGTTTAACTTGTTTGTGTGCATGAACAGAAAGAAGGTGCACGATATGGCCAGCAATGCAATCAGCTCCACAGACCTGCAAAAGCACAGAGAAAACAAATTGATGATTGAAACATTGTTAGCCAAAAGGTTAGCCTAAAGCATTCTATTTATAGGAACGTTAAGCTTTTGTAATTTACGCTAAATTGGTTTTTAGCAGCTATTATTTCATTTACACTTCGAGTCGCCGTCACACACAGACCGGCGATACTCACACAACTGCAGCTCCAACTCCAGCTCCGGCTCCTCTCCAAGTGTGCGCTCTTGGCCTTTTGAATGACCCAACACCGCGTCCACCTCCGCCCCCATAGCGAAAACTACAAAGTATGCGCTGTGACAACATTTAATTAAGTTCTGACAAGCCAAAACAAAGCAAAACAAACCCAAACAGAAAGGCAAAACAAGGGGAGCACTGCAGCAAAAGAAAGCAACTATAAAAATTATACAAGAAATTAACAAACAAAATGGAAGGAGACGGTGCGCAACAGCAGAGACGCCACTGTACAGTGGCTGCCAAAAGATTGGCTATAGAGGCAGTCGCTATAGGATTGGTAGTACTAGAAATACATCAACTGCTGTTGATAACATTGAGATAAGAAAATATTTGATATTCGATTAGGAATCGTCGTAGGTTTACTGAATGAAACCTTACGTAATACTTTCTGTATGATTAGCTATATAAATTTGCAGCACGTAGCTCTGAACTGAAGCCCAGAAATAACGTAATCTCTCAAGTTGTTTTGGTTTGATGCCAATTTTGTTTGCCTATTACGCATATTTAGCTAATCTCTATAAGGCATATTTAATATATCATGTAAAAGCTAACACGCCATAAGTAAAACTCGCGATTGATGTTGATCAACTGAGTATATAAGGAGGGATGCATACATAAATAAAATGAGTTATAATAAAATATATGTGTATTAGATTATATACGTATGATATTTATGTATATATAAGAGATATAAGAACTGATATATAATATCAAATATATTTATTTAATATATTTATTATTTATTTTTATTGATATGTATATATGTTTATAATATATCATATTTATACGTAATGATATTATTTAAGAATTTTTTTTTATAATATCCAATAATAATATATATTTATTATATATGCACATGAATTATTAATAGTCAATTTCATTTATAGAAATAATTTTTATTTATAGAAAAGCTCTTTCAAATATTCCATCTCTTGTTGAATACATCGATATATATTATATATGTATTTCTATGCTATTTTATATTTTTTTTATATTCAAAGTACTTGAAGCAAAAAAAAACTTTTAAGGCAATGAACCAAATGGTTGGCTGCGGCTCATGCCATAGGGGCTAAGCTGGTCGCCGCAGACCGGAAGGAGCTTCTAGTTGGCCTCTATATTATTTTTTTTTTTTGTTTTACAAATTTTTTCTTTATTTTGTATTCCGTCTGTATACTTTTTTGAAACATTTTTCGCTGCTTATTTTGTTTTGCTATTTTATATATTCTCCATTCTGTTGGGTTGATAACAAAACAAAGCTAACAAAGCAAGAGCGAAAATAAACCAAGTCGAAATTGCAATGCAAACTGTTTTCTTTGGGCAACTTTTTTAATGCAGCTGTCGAGGAATCACAAAAGAAACAAAAAATAGAAAAAATTAAAAGCAAAATATTTTTTACTGTTTGCTTTTGTTGGCATAAATCTACCGGCAGATAGCAGCAGCAGCAGGAGTAGGAACAGCAGCAACAGAAAATAAAATAAGCAAAGGTAAAGAAAAACGCTGGAACAACTAGTATCAAAATAATAATGACAATAAATGCGGCTATAGGAAAAAGGAAAATGGAGGGGAAAAAAAAATAGAAAGAAAAGAAAATGCTAGGCAGAGTTTTGTGAAGTTTTGTCTACTGACTATTGTTGTTGTTGGGACAGTTGCTGACTTAGTTTTCATCAGGTGCAAAAAGTAATTTATTTCAAATGACTGCACTGGCCGCCACTGAGCCGAGGTTGAAAGTGGAGCCAGTTTGGTAAGTGGTAAGTGTAGAGCCGAAGCCGAACGCCTGCTCCAAATCACAGAGCTAGAAGCGAAAGGCTGACTTTCATGTGGCCAGACGACAGTCTGGCAGTCTGGCATTCAGCTAGGCAGCTAAATGAAATGTATCTGACGGATACACCGTCACCGACATGGCCAAAAGGCGTTTTAACTTTTTGGCCACCTGCTGTGCGCACTTAGCTTTAGTTCTGGTCGTGGGTGTTTATTTCATTAGCCGAGCCGACTACAGTTGATGCCGAAAGTTTGCGTACCAAAACAACATTTTACTTATGTATGCCACTGAGTGAATGTTTTGTTTGACGACAATGCAAGCACCACCTCTCTCTCTCTCCCTCTCTCTCACTCTCTCTCTCTCTCTCTGCGCCAACTTATTGTTAAAGTTGACACTAAAGTGCGCCGCAAATCCCACTTAAGAGCTGCTTCTCAGATGTCAGCCACGCCCGCACGCCTCCCAACCGCCCGCAGCAACTTTAACTTGTTCTGTTCAGCATTTTTGTTCTTCTGTTTTTTTTTCTCCTCCCTCGTTTGTTCAGAAATTTATTGACATTTTGTTTTTGCTTCGCGCCCCCAAAGGGCCGCATGGCGTGTAAATGCCGAAAGTTATGTGATTATTAAAATAATTTTACGTGACTGCGTCGATTTCATTTTCGGACATCGCAGTCAACACATTGTGCCGACTCCAACTCGAATTTTCGGATTCTGTGTGGATTCCAGTTTCAGTTTGAGTTTCCAACTGCCAACTGCCAACCGGCCAACCGGCCAACTGGCCAACTGGTGACTGCAGTTCGTTTGCTGCCACGTACCACATGTGCCTGCCATTAGGGACCTACACTTGGTTCGTTAGCGTTTTTTGTGTATGCCTGCGAGACGAGCTCTATTTCTGTTTCTATTTCTATTTCTATTTCTATTTCTATTCCTACTTCTCTTTCCATTTTCTGTGCATTTATATGTGTTGGGGATCGTGGGAGCAGCGCATGGCGTTGTTAACTATACCACTGCGAAAAATTAAATGCACAACTCGAGGCGAATCGTAGGACAATAATTATGAGTTAATATCAGAAAAAAATCTAAATGAAAATAATGTATAATAAATGAATATCAAAAATATTTTCCTTAATATTCTTCGGGGTCTAAATTATGTACTATTTTATATATATAAAAATATATACTATTAGCTAAAAATATTGATAGAAAAAAAATATATATATTTTTTTTTATTAATAATTACTAAATGTTCTTTGGCATTATTTGCAACAAATTGAATTTAAAAAATTTATATTATATTTAATCACTATTAGTAGTTTTTAAAAGTAATATTTTTTTAATTTTCATTAAATATAAGCATGAACAAAAATTAATAAAATATACAAAGTTCCAAGTTTTTTTTTTTTTTTAAATTATATTTAAAACAATTTTTCTTAAAAAAAAACCTTGAAAACAGTTAAAAATATAAAATTTAAGAATACATATTTAAAAAATTTGTATATAGAATTAAATTTGTTAAAATTATATTCCTTTATATTATTGCTAATTTTTTACATTATTCGAACAACATTTTATTTATTTTTGATGATTATATGCTAATATGTATAAAACTATTTTTTTTTATTTATTTAAAATTTTTTTTAATATTTCTATGGCTTTGCATCGCCAACTTCTAACAAAATGAACTCAATTAAAAATATTTCCTATCAAATGATTGTAACTGTAACTGAAACAGTTTCCTTAAGTGATCCGCAATCAATTTAAGTGAATCGAATGGCAAATTTATTTAGAAATCATGGCAAGAACCAGCTCGTGAGTCGATAGCTTGCAAATCAGTTCCCCTCATCTCCTACCCTACCCACCCCCTCGCGCTGATTGCGCTGCATACAACACTGAAATGGCGCACGCCTTTCACTTCCAGTGTTGCCTAAGTGAGCGAAAGAAATAATAGAAAAAAAATCGAGAAAAAGAAAAAACTAAGCAAATGGCAATAGCAGCAGCAGCAGCAGCAGCAGCAGCAACAGTTGCCGCATGCAAATTGCTCGCCATTTCCGTTCATTGTCGTTTATACGTAAGCACAACTGCATCATAAGTAATTTAATTAAATGATGGTAAATTTTCCAACTAATCAAACTGCAAAACTGCACAAACGGCAGTCAACAAATTGTGGCACGTTGGCCATTAGAAACGATACACACACACACACACATACAACTCAACTAGTTTGTTGCAGTTCATGTGTGCAGCCCGGCGCAACGATAATTCCCGTAAATTGACAAAAATTTATAAGTCATTTCTTGATTTGAGCATTTGCTCAAGCATTTTGCGCAATCTTTATTGACCCAAATGGAGATGCCACACGCAGCGTGTGGCTTTAGTTTCAGCATCGACTTAAGCCTCTGCTGACTCTGCTGCATCGCCTCTGCACTTGCATCAGCTTCAGCTTCAGCTTCGATTTCAACTGCAGCATCAATAAATATTGACATTAGCCACGGCTTAGTTTCTGTTTCGACTTTTGCTTTAGCTTTTGCTTTAGCAACTGTTTCATTTAGGTTTATTTAAAGTTTATGCATTGACAACAGTTTCTGGACTTAGCTTTGGCTTGTCATCAGTTTACGTTTTTAATACAGCATCGATTTTAGCTATAGCTAAACTTCAGCTTAGACAACAGTTTTTGTTGGTTTTGGCTTTAGATTCAGTGTTGAGATCAGTTTTAGCTTTAGCTCCTTCAGCTGCTGTAGCTTAACTTCAGCTTTGATTCAGTTGAATTTGGTTTTCAGTATTCAGATCAGCTTTAGCTTTAGATTCTGTGTTCAGATCAGCTTTAGCTTTAGCTTCTTCAGCTGCTTCTTTGATTCAGTTTCTGTTGGCTTTAGATTCAGTATTCCTCAGCTGCTGCAGCTGCAGTTCTAGCTCTAGCATCGTCTTTAATTTCAGACTCAGCATCGCTCTAAGTTTCAGTTTCCCTATTGGCATTCGCTTCAGCTTCACCTTTAACATCGCCTTCGGCT